GCCCTGAGACAGGTTCTCTTGCTCCTGTAATGGCCACAGCAGTTCCAGGCGTCTTAACAGTCCAAGGAAGGAGGGGTGGTGCTTTCCTGAGGACGGGAATCTAACAGCTCGGAAAGTAATAGAACATAACTTTATTAGGCTGTAAAATAAAATGGAAATATCTATGCTTATAAGCAATCTTTAAAAATGTCATGGAAAGTGCATATTATGAGGAAACTGTGTAAGGACTTCAAAAAATATTTCTACACCTACATAAACTTATCTTTGAATCCCATTTTTCCAGGATCTTTTGAAATTCTCTGGTGTTTCTTAGGAGCTTCCCCATAGGCTCCGCTGTAGTCTCATTGGTCAAAATCTCACTGTTTTTGTCCCAGAATATGCTGAGCTCAGATGTGGGAAATGACACCAGCTGTGCCTGGGCCTTCAGGCTACAGTGGACATCTGCCTCCAGAGGCAGGAAAGGACTGTGACCACCCTGTGTGGGAAACAAGCAGAATCGACTTTTGGAACCAAGAACAGGTGTCACTGCTTTATTAGAAAACCATTGTGGTGGTGAGAGCTTCGTTTGAAAGGGAAGCAGAAGGCACCTACAGCCTTTTATGTTGTGTGCCAAGGTCTTATTCCTTACCCTCTATGAGATGGGGTGATGCCATTACCAGAAAGATTTCACACTTCCCCGTTTAATCACATAATTTCTGAGATGCTTGATCTGTCCTGAGACAGGCAGTTACACAAGGTGTAAGCAGTACATAGAAAACCAAGAAGAGCGTTTGTAAATGCTCATATTTGTATGTCTCTCTCTCTCTCTCATACACACACAGACATCACACATACACCTGTTTTTGTTCCCAGTGAATACGGGGAAGTACTTTCTAAAAGACATTTTTTAAAAACAAATCAGTTAATTCTATCAAATTATTATTTTGTCAAATAACATGATTGATCATTGAATAAATGCATACTTATTATCATTGTTGTTGTTGTTAAAGAAGGCAAATCAGAAGCCAGAGCGAAACGTTCGTATAACCTACAAACTTATCTTGGCAGTCTTTGTAATTTAGTTAGAAAACAGCGCTCCCTGCTGACCAAAACTCAGCTAATTGGTCACAACAGCAAAAGCGAAGCAAATTTGAAGCAAGTCACCAGGAAGGAAGACAAAGCAGGAAAACAGGGCAAAGACTGCTCTCTTCAGGACGGCGTCGTTGTTACAGTTCTTACAAACGCTGGAAATATCCCGTCTTCTTACATTTCTTAAGTTAGAAACTGCTGGTTCCGAGGCCCTGTGTGATTATAGTTCAGTTGACTAACCCTACCGTTACAACTGGGATTGTGGGCACCCACTCGTGTCCCTGCTGCTCCATTTCTATTCCAGCTCCCTGCCTGTGGCCTGAGAAAGCAGTGGAGGATGGCTCCTGGCTGTGGATCTGGCCATTGTGGCTACTTGGGGAGTGTACCAGCAGATGAAAGATCTTTCTATTTCTACTTCTCTCTGTAAATCTGCCTTTCAAATACGAATAAATAAACTTTAGAAAAGAAATTGCTGGTTCATAAACACTAGAAACATTCCCTGAGTTTATATTGGCATGATCAGTTCTGATGGTTAACTCAGTTCCCAAAAATATTATATTTTATCCATCCTGTAGAAAATTTGTTTCTTAAAAAAATGTCCTGTTAGCTTTTTTCTTCCTTTTTTGTATATTTATTCTTGCTTTTTGTAACACACATACGATTAAGCCATCCACATAAGCATTTTTACTTAAAGGTCCCCGAAGAATGTCAACTATAATTAGATAGCTAGTGGATCACTGGAGGGGAGAGGGAAGTTGGGACTTAGCAAAATGAAATAAGAAATCAGATAATCAAAGATGATTTCTAAAAATTGTAAATTTTCAGACCAGCTGCCTTGGGTTACATCTAAATCCTCCTGGTCCTGGATTATGTTAGGTCATCACAATTCGTGGTGATGGCCCATGACTTTCAAACTAACCCCCCCAAAATGGCCTGGCCATTTGTTTTTTAAGACAAAAATAATAATTTCGCAAGAGATGTTAGGTCTTAGAAAAACACTGAGGCAAATCAGCCAATTTCTAGCCATCCCCAGTTTTTTTTTTATAGCAACATAGCTTCTTAAAGATTAAAGTACATCAACGCAGAAACTAAGATGAGCTGAGATTAAGATGAACACATTGACTCAATTCTTCTGTACAGCTATAAAAAAATTAGCATCTTACGTATTATTTTTTGCTAACACTTATTAAGGACTTACTATGGACCAGGCATTGTGCTGAGGACTTTACATACAACATCGCACATAATACAATTGTTACATAATTCAAGTTTCACAAATAAGGAAATGATGGCTTCAAGAGTGTAAGTGATACGCCCATGCTAAAGTTTGGGAATCAGGTGGATCAAACTCACTGGCTCACAACCTTCTAACCACTGCATTGGAAGCTGGGGCTGGAATTCCCCAGCTCGTATCCTCTGATCCCCCACATTTTTGGTTGTGCTGTGTCGTGGATAGTCAGTGCAGTCTGCAACAGCTGGGTGAAGGACAATCTCCCACGTAATGTCATCCTCAAGTTGCTCAACAAAGTCTTTGTTTCTACAGTCCATGAGGGTCAATTAGATAATCAAAGAGGAGAGGAAGGGGGCTGTTGACCAGGGAGAGAAAGGCCAAGGACTCAGTTTGGGACGTTTCTTCGTACTGTGGTAGGAGTGAGGCTTTTGGCTTTCTGATGCTCTCTGCGTGGTGTACTATTAGGTGGTAAGTGTACTCTTTAGCATGGAGGATCAAGTTGTTCTCTGGTTTGCCTCAGTCACAACTCTGGATCTATACTTGGTTTGGGAAGGAATAGAACATTGCATTTGCAGGTGAATCAGTCCTGGAAAACTTATCATCCTTTAATTTGCTGGTTCTCTCCCTGCTCTCCATCTCGGTTCTCCTCGATGTGCCAGCCGAGGTCTCTGCTAGATTGGGGTCACAAACAGAACATGCACCAAGCTGGTATGTGTTCATTGAGTGGAGGAAATGACATCAGGAAACCTTAAAGTATAAGGAGAACTAAACAAGGTAAAGGAGAAGGAGGGAAACATGTAAAAAGGAGAGAACACCATGTTAACTCAGCAGGAAGAGGGCCTTTAACCCGATGGTAAGACACTGTGGTTAAGACGCAAAGGGCCAGCATTGAAGTACCTGGGTGTGCTGCCCAGCTCTGACTCCTGGTAATGCAGCCCTGTGAGACAGCTTAACTACCTAAGCAGTGATGGCTAAGTCATCCACACGGGAGCCCTGGATTGATTTTCTGGTTCCCAGTTCCTTCCCTGTCCCAATTTCTCTCATGGCAGGCATTTGCAGAGTGCAGTGCTGGATGGGAGTTCTTGCGCGCTCTCTCTCTCCTTCTTAATTAAAAAAAAAAAAAAGGCAACACGATTTGTTGTGGAACCACAAGTATGTGAACAAGGCTGAAGGCAGGGCCATGGAGTACAAGAACAATAGTGCCCCTTAGTTTTAGCTATCAGAACACTGGAGCCTGCCATCTTTGCTTCCTTCTCTCGCCAACTGTGTCTGTTGATAAGTTGTACAATTTATCTATGTCGTGAGGTTTTGGGAAGATGAAATGAACTATGGCATGAGAAATGCTTAGAACAATGCCTGCCATGTAGTGGTTAGTACTTAACACAAGTGAACTCTGCTGACAGCATCATGAGTAGGAAGAGTGACAGTGGATTTCTGTATGAACAGGAGAAAGATTAAAACTTTATGCCAAAGATTAAAACAGTGTGAGTTTTGGAAAATTTGTTAAGAAATGGGGAGAATGTATATGATCTGAATTTTAGAAAAATCAGTCTGGCACAGGGACAGAGGATAGATTGAAGGTAACAAAGCTGAATATAGAGAGACTAATGAAGAAGCAACTGCAAAAAAAAATCATAAAGAGATGGTAAACTAAGTCAGGGCCAGGTGCAATAGAGAGGGGACAGGTGCCAGGCAAAGAAGTAAACAGGTGGATTCACTGAGCTGAGTATCTCAGCTGTCAGGAAGAAGTTGGGTGAGCAATGACCTCAGCAGCTGAGAAAGGGAACTCCAAAACAGGAAGGTGGGGAGTTTAGTTCTGAATATGATGTCCAATTTAGGGCATACTGTCATGAGCTTAAAGAAGATAGACAGGGGCCAGATCAATGGCCCAGCTCCAAGTGCCAGCATCCCTCATAGGTGCTAGCTCATGTCTCAGCTGCTCCACTTCCCATCCAGCTCCCTGCTCATTGGGGGAAAGTAATAGAGGAAGGCCCACATCCTTGAGACCCTGCATTCGTGTGGGAAATCTGAAGAAGTTCCTGGCTCCTGCCTTGGGGTCAGCTCAGCTCTGGCCATTGCAGCCATTTGGGGAGTGAACTAGCGGATGAAAGATCTTTCTGTCTCTTTTTTTTCCTCTGTAAATCTGTCTTTCCAATGAAAATAAAAGTCATAGGAGAAAGAGAGAATAAACAAATACCCATGTCCAGTAGGCAATGGATAAATTAGAATATTTTGATAAGAACCCTGGCCAATATGTCAAGTAATATTGTTTATATTTCTGGAATGTAAAACCATTTATTATTATTTGTGTAAAATGTTATCTCCGCCTTAATTATAGATATCAACATTGGAAAGATTCATTAATGCTGTCTAGAAATATTGTGAACTTCTGAGATTCTCTTGGCAATCCAGGAGCACTCTCCTGAGGTGTGAGCTAGCCATGACAGAAACAAGACCAGTAATATCGAAGGCATGCAAACCATGGATTAGACCATTTCTTGGGGATTATGTTCGGGGGTCTCCCTTGTAGTGTCCTGCCTGTGTATGAGACACATCCTATAGAGTAATTACTTGAATGTGTGCATAAGGATTTAATATTAATGTGTACATATGTGTAAATACATATAAAGCATTTCTAGTTTTAAACTTATCAGTTTAAACCGATTTTACCATAACTGTCATTTTTTAACTTTCCTCATAGGTATTTCTGATGAGTATATAACACCTATGTTTAGTTTTTACAAAAGTGTTGGGGAATTGAAAATGACCCAAGAAGAATACGCACTGCTCACAGCAATCGTTATCCTCTCACCAGGTAATTTTAATTTCTATGCCAAGTTTTTTTTTTTCTCAATATCATGGGTAATGTTTCTGTCTAAAGTCTGAAAAACAGAAACCTAAGGGAAAAATGGGTCTGTAATTCTACCATTCCAATCGAATCATCATTATCCTTTCACTATACTTTTCATTCTCTTTTTTGAAACATCACACTCATATACTTAATAAGTACATGCCAAATAATTATTAAATACTGGACATGGTTCTAGATATGGGGGACCGGCAAGAAACAGCTTGCATGTAGTGTCTATTATGGTAGGATGAGAAAGATAATTAAAGAAACAAATAGAAATACTTTTTCAGAAAATGGCAAGTACTCCAAACTATAAAATGTCAGGATGTAAGGAAATAAGAACAGGCATTTAGCCAAGGGGGGTCCAGGTTGGACACTAGGCTCTGGTTCCTGGTTCCAATTTCCTGATAATGTACTCCCAGGCAGATGGCATTGACCGCAGTGTGGGAGACTGCAGTCCGTTCCTGGACCCCAGCTTTCCTGGTCCAGCAGGAGCAAGCATTTAGGGAGTGAACCAGATAGGACAGCTCTCAGGCTCTCTGCTTCTTTCATTGATTCTGAAATAAATTAATATATTTACTTAATGAAATGGCTATAATTAAGGTTACAGGAAATTGCTATTTAAATTCATGTTCATGGAAGATTTACCTAGGTGGTTGGATGTGAGCAAGAGCCTAGATGAAATTTTGTGTTTTTTGTTTCCTTTTTTAAAAATATATATTTATTCTAAACACACATGCAAACACAACACACACACGGGATGGCAGGTAGCAAAGGAAAGAAAAAAAGGGAGAAAGAAATTAAGAGAGAAAGAAGGAGAAAGATTCCATCTGATGGTTTGCTCCCCAAATGGCTGCAGTAGCCAGGATTTATTTTATTCTGGCCTGGCTGCAGTCCCAGGCCAGAAACACCATTAGGGTAGCAGATTCCTAAGCGTTTTGGCTTTAGGGAGTCGTGTAAGGAGCATGGTGTGTTCTCTTTACCTGTTCTATAGCTTGATCTAGTTGTGTATGTGAGTGTATGTGTGTATTTACCAAATCAAACTCTCAATTTGCTCAAGAACAGAACATCTGTAAACTTACATTTCATGAGAGTGAACATTGCCAAAATGATGCCCCATTAATGCTTTCCCACTTTCTTGTTTTATTTTAAACTCCAAAATAGATAGGCAATACATAAAGGATAGAGAGGCAGTAGAGAAGCTTCAGGAACCACTGCTCGACGTGCTGCAGAAGCTGTGTAAGATTCATCAGCCTGAAAATCCTCAGCACTTTGCTTGTCTCCTGGGCCGGCTGACGGAGCTGCGGACGTTCAATCACCATCATGCGGAGATGCTGATGTCCTGGCGAGTCAATGACCACAAGTTCACGCCACTGCTCTGCGAGATCTGGGATGTGCAGTGATGAGCGTCGCAGAGGAAGGCGCTATCCTTTTCCTCTTGCAACAGAAATCTGATGTCTAACTTTCCTTCATTTCATTTGTACCTCGTTCTAGTCAAGGATCTTGAGGAATATTTATATAGTAATTCTATAACTTCCACAGTTGTAAATACAGCGCCACATAGAACTCCTTTCTCCACATTAATAGTTTACGAGGCTTCAGGGACTCGTACATTCTCATTGGCCTGCCCTGTTTGCCTGATTAAATTGATTGTTATTTCAACTGTATCTGTTCAGCTATGAAGAAATCTCATTTGGCTCTGTGTCTTATCATACTGCATGTATTTTATTATAGAATTGTATTCAATTTTGGTAATAAACAGTAAATAATGGCAACAGGATTTTCTCTAGGATTGAAATTTTCCAAATACATAAGCTCTTAATTCTTTAAATGATGAAAGGCATTCTCCTGAACCACAGGGGGTAATTGACAGATTGATAAACTTTCACAATATAAATGATACTTTTCTTATCCCTGGAGGAGCTCTAGTTAGTATTCATTCATTTGTAATAGCCCTCTGAGCACTTCATTTCCTTTGAAGTTCAAAGAGAACTTCACACAAAAAGCTAACAGTTTTCCCATAAAACATTCTCCTGAGGTGAGGCTCTGGAGGCAGCAGCCACCGCTCAGCTTATGCAGAGAACTTGGGTGAGGACAGTCCCTTCTCTCTTAAAAGCTCACTGTTGGTTTCCACGCATACATACGATTATTCATCTTTTTTCATTTGTTTGGTTTTGCTTTTGAAAACACTTCTGCAGCTGGGCACACAGCTGCTCTACCCTTCCGCAAGCAGGACTTAGTTCATTTCCTTCTGTCATTGTTACACTGCTGCATTCTCTCCCCTCTCTGCCTTTATCCCTTTGAATATAATAAGACACCTTCGATAAATCATGCGTTTTTTATCTCCCCTTTTCCTGAAGTCAGCCAAAATGGAGTTTACAAATAGTTTTTGTATTAAAATACTCCAGCAACCCCGAAATTCTAAAAATAACTAGCTAGTGTGAAAGGGAAGGAGTGGGGACTAGCATCAGTTGGATTCTATCTGATATAACAAAAGTGTCTTGAGGCCCCACCAAGCACAGAATTCTGTTACTAAACTCCATAGGGGATACAAAGATGACGGAGACCTACCTAGAACTACCAAGGAGAACTACTTAGGCAATTGGTGAAGCCTCGTGGAAAAGGCTGCATTTGCAGTGGACTTTACAGGTTAGGCCAGAATTCCGTGGGTTGTGAAAAGAGAGATGGTAGTTGAGGGTAAAACAGGTTAGGAGCCCAAGAACAAAGAGGGGAAATCATGCAGATCTTAAAGGACTGTAGGTAATTTGGGGTGAAGGGCCTGGAGTGCAGTCTGTTTACACTGTCCCTTTCTAAGCTTAAATTCCACCATCATAAAATGAAGCTAGCATAATCATCTGCTCAAAGCATTGTAGCTTATTCATGAAGAGTGAGTGAGAAGTTGTAGGCCCACCAGAGAAGGATGGTGAAGAAAGGACAAGTAAGACAGAAGTGAATGTCTGAATGCTTAAAAAAAGTGAATGAGTCTGAGAATTACAGACTAGAAGCCATCCATGAGCAAAATGGTGGGGAATCAACACAGGGTAGAGGCAGGACTCACAGAATGAAGCCCCTCCCAACCTCCTGGCATGCATCCATCTCAGGTCCAAACCAGTCAGGAGCAAACAGCATCCACACCCTGACAGCAAAAGATCCCCACTGTTGTGCCAGAAACTTCCCCAGCATGTGTACATGCCAGGAGCAGCTCAGTAAGTTTAACATATGACCCTGCTGAGGAGCCATGGTGAGCAGCACTGCCATGATGACCATGTTGTGTGTAAAACAGCAACTGTTCAGTGCAAATGGATGATGCACCGGAGACAAGAGAGCATGGCAGCACCTCCTGAGTGGGCAGAAAGTGTTCCTGCTGGCTTGTCTTCCTTGTGCTCAAGCTAAGACCCCAATAAAGCATTTCTTGGTTGAACAGTGGCCTCTTGCAAATTTCTACATGCAAGAGAGTCAAGGAACTCAAGGCTGGCATCAAAATGGGAACTGATAGAACAATAGACAGAGGTGGTAGCTCAATTTCATGGATTTAGTCAATTAGCTAAGACCTTGTAACAACACACAATACTGTTTCCCATATGGAAAACCAATTGCACATTCCAGGATTTGTAGCATTGGATTTGGTAACTCATTCCACTCTTCCCTTAATTTGATTGCAAAGGACTTATTTTTCAATAATGTCACATTTTGAGGATGGATATGGATTGGGGAGGTGTACATTCAACATGTTCTATATAGACCATGATACAACATTCCTATGTTAAACACAATAGCTGATGACATAAGATTCCATTTGTCAAATTACTTAACATATTTGTTAATACAATCCAGTAGCATTTAATTTCTATCTCTATTGGCACTTGATAGACTGTCCAATGAGCCAGGAGTTTAATTAATTATGACCAAATCAAGGTCTGTACTCCTCAAAAACTATACAGAAGCTACACCAGGCATAATCCATAAGACTGACAACACCTGACAACAAAATGCAGAACAAAACAATGAAAACAAATCAAAACCAGTCAAACAAAACAATCAAAACTGCAACAACTATGGTACACGTTTAAAGAAAAAATACAGTCTTTCTTGTAGGACTGTAAAAGGCTTCCCTCCCCTCTTCAATAGCCAAGGTTTCTGTAAGTTTTAGAGACTCTTCTGTATTATGTAGAGCTGTTTAGTTGGACAGTTATTCCTAATGTACTAACTTTGAAAACTTAGGTTTCTAAACATGATTCTTTGTAAGAGTGTTTATTTACATTTGGAGAGTAATAGACTTTATCATTAAATAGAAATAAACTGGTGAGTCTTGCTTTGCATAGTTACAACTATGCAAATTCCAGGTATACAAAGCCTTTAAAACAAGCCTATGAACCTAACCACCAATTAGAAAGCTCACACATGAAAGTAGATGGCAGCTCATTAAAAGGAACCCTCAATCATTCATTGCAGTATTAAAGACGGTCAGTGAGCTGTCCACAACAGCCATGGCTGGGCCAGGCTAGAGTGAGCATGCAGGAACTACATCTGGATCTTCCACAAAGGTGGCAGGGCCCAGGCATTTGGGGCATCTTACTGTGCTTCTCAGGATTTGTTAGAAGGCAGCTGGATCAGAAGTAGAGCAGCCAGGACTTGACCTGCCATTCCAGTATGGGAGGAGATACTAGCCAGGAATTAATATAAAAGCGAGAATGAGAAAACAATAATAGAAAAGGTGTGTGTGTGTATTGCAAATATATATTGAGAGAGAGCGAAAGAGAAAATATTCCTGAGGCAGCATAGTTTCAATTTTTAATAAAGGTATTCTGATATTTAGGAGCACATTATATATGTGTATGTATGTGCATGTATGTACATGTGTGTATAAATGAAAACAGAACAATTATTGATAACTAATGACTTACCATGCAAGTATTGTACAACACAACTTTCTTAGTCTGAATTTACTTAACCTTATACTTTAGGCTCTAGGGAAAATGTACAAATACTGATGCTCAAATTCAACAAACTCAATTTAAAATCTCAACTTCACTTGGTGAAATAAGATGGCATGCAAACTGTCCTTTGGTTTTCAATAGAAACACTGGAAACCACAGGCTGACATGAGCAACAGGTTCTGGGAGTATGTACTTATTGAGACACAAATCCCCACTGGCCTCAGATCCAACTATTTGTCAACACTCAAAAGCTTTGTCAGCTATGACATGGCCATGATCTTCCTCCCAACTCCGAATGCCAGCTCTGAGAGAGCTGATCCCGCACGCTGTGGCTGAGTACCCACTGACTTACACCTCGGAAGTGTGTGTCTGCACAGACCGTGGAGACAGCCTCACCTCCAACCGCCCCCACCATCGTCTGCACATTTTGTCCGCAAGTTTCTTTCACACTTCAAGCCGAACACATCTCAGACCAACATGCACTCATCTATCCAACGATTTTTTCCATTTCTTGGATCCGCACCAAATCGCATGACGGTAAAACCCAGATAAGCAAATTCTTTGACATCTCCAGGCATTTCCCCATCCCCATCACCCTTTCTGAGACAGTTCAGGACATTATCTTACTCTGATTTCTGGACTGACTGTCTTACGTCCTTTCAAAAATCCTTGAAAATGGCCAAAGCACGTGTCTGTTCCTACCAGCCCTGCCTTACAACCATCTGTATTATTCAACTCCTACCCCAGGCTTTCCCTCTGAGCACCTCCAGGCCCAATCAGATCACCAAATTTTAGACTACTAAAATCCAGCTTAGGCTGGATCACCAAATTTTAGGTGGTCAAAATTACTATTTCCAGAATGTTTCTTAGGCTGCCATACCTCTGAAATCTTGCAATTTTGGGTCCCCCTGCTTGGAAAATACTCCTTACTCCCAATGAGTTCTCCCTTCAGGAAAATTCTTACCCATCCTTCAAATTTTCCATAGCACACCACAGCAGTAATGGTGTAGTGTGTTAAGCTGCTGCTTGCAATGCCCACATCCCATAGGAGAGTGCTGGTTCTACCCAGTTCTCTGCTGCTGTGCCTGGGAAGCAGTGGGTGACAGCTGATGAAGTGGAGTTCCTTCCACCCATATAGGATACCCAAATGGATAAAGCTTCTGTTTTCTGGCCCTGGCTGTTGTTGCCATTTAATGAATGACCAGTAAATGGAAGATTGATCTTTCTCTCTCTCCCTCCCTCCCTCTCTCTTTCTCCCAATCAAACAAATTATGAATGATAAAATCCATCTTGCCAAACCTCTGCTCAGTATCCTCCAAGCCTGCTGCGTGTTCCCTCCTTACGTTGAAGGCTGAGGTGGCTTTTTCACTTTAGTTTCTTGAGGAGACAACGGTCTCTTGCTTTTGTTGAGCGAATGAGCACCCACATGTTGGAGACAGATCATTATTCCAGTCCAGTGTCTACACTTGACAGGTGGGGAAAGGGGGCAGAGACGCGACAGAATGTCACAAAAGTAACAGGTAGTGGGTGGCCATGGCCTTGAGGTAGAACACACGCCTCCCGACTGTTGGCCCATCACTTTTTTTTTTTATTCGTTTGGGTCTTTATTTGGCCGGCCTCTGCCTTATCTCAACCCACAGAGCTAGTAAGTGTGTCTTTTGGTAGAGGTTAATGTCTTTTTGGAGTTCTGTTATTTCCTGAAAGATCAAGGTCCTCTTTTTGCTTCCAGTGGTGGCTTGGAGCTCCGTGGTTCCTGCTCCTTCTCCCCGCCCAGGAGAAGAAAGCCTCTGCCTTCAGGACCCACCCCCCATTCGGGCCAGGCCCCTGTAGTCTGTCAGCCCGGCCGGCTGCTTCCCAGCAGGTTGAAGGTTGCAGCGTTTAACAGACAAGTCTCAGAGACACGCCAGTCCATCCCATCCGCATCTTAGGATGAGGGACAGCCATCCCTAGAGGCCAGGTGGATCTCCCTTTCCTGTCCACCGGGACTGCCGCTGCTCTGGGACGCGGTCACTTCGCCTGTCACAGGGGCCTGGCTGCCCGTACCCGGGAGACGCCGGGAAGGAGCCGGGAAGGAGCCTTGCGGACCCGGAGTGCGGCTGACTGGAAGCAACGCGCCGGTCGCCGCTCTGCCGGCCACGCCCCGCCTCCCTCGGATTGGCCATTTCGAAACAGGCGGCGGCCAAGCTCCCTGAGGCCCGGGCGGCGGCGACCGCGGCGGCGGTTGGTCAGGGGCGTGTCGGGCCGGCACAGATTGAGCCGCGATGTCGCCCCGTAGGGGGAAGTGACCACCCGGTGCCTGGACTGGGGTGAGTACTTGCTTGCCTGTCTTCTCTTTTCCTCGCGAACTTTCCTCGCTTTCTCGGGGGGTCCGGCGCCTCAGCCAGGGGGTTTGGAGGCGCCCCCCTACGCGGCACTCTGAGGAAGCCTAGTGGAGTTTCGATTGGGTTCTCCGTTGGCTGGCTAAGGGAGTTGCGCGTTCTGATTGGTCCACGGGGCTGTCAATATGAAGTTAGGCCGGCCTGCACCTGGCCGCCCTGGTGCAGCCTATCGGACCTCAGGTATGGGGGCTCCGCAGGTGCGAGCTCGGCAGGCTCGGGGTTGAGGGGGGGAAAGGACCGGGGGCTGCTGCCCGGCCTGCTTCAGAATCCAAAAACAGAATCGGGCCCAAAAGCTAGCAGAGGGGACTCATTCCCGTGCGCCGAGTACTGGGACGGTTGCTTGTTTCCTGTCTTCTTCTCATCCCAGGCAAGAAAGGATGACTTTGGCGGCTCTTGGAAGGGAAGAGCACGGAGAGATCTTGTCCTCCCGCCGGTTTTGCAGGCTCGTCCCCGTTGTCGCTCCCCAGGCTATACAGGGCTCAGCTCTCCTGGACCAGGGGACAGAACTGGGGACCCCTCGGATTGTTTGCGCTGCCCTCTGGGAGAAGCTGGCGGGTTGCCCTGGAAGTCGCAGGGAAATTTAGTAGGAGCACCTGCTTCTTAGTGCAGCCACCCGTTTCCTTCCTAAAGTTTTCGAACCAAAGCTTCGAATCTGTTAAATTTACTCTGTCTCATAGTAGCATAAGGCGAGGCAGCTGATGCAGCCGGTATTGAGGGAAGCGACGGGGCTGTGTGTGTGAAGGCTCAGGTTGGTTCAGAGCTTGGGCTTCACCTGCTTGTGTTGGAGAACTGTCATAGCTACCCTACCGGAAGATCCCCTCTGATGGCACCTGAGCAATTAGGAATTGGAATTCTCAGCTCCTCCGATTCCCCGAGGGATGCGATTGATACGTTTCAAATGACAAAGTGCAAACACCAGCCAGACTCCTGTGATACAGTTTGTGATGCGTGTTACTCTTCTGACTCACCTGTTTCAAAAACTCATTGAAACTAACCGACAGGGACTAGTGGGCGTGCCTACTAGCTTAATGTTATTGAATGAAAAGCGGGATTTCTTTCTTTTTTTTTTTTTTTTCCCAGTGTGGTAGAGTTGCCAAGCTTCTGAGGTCTGAAATCAGACTTCAGCAGCTTTGTGACCTTAGGGAAGTCATTTAATCTTTCTAAACCTAAACGATCTCATCTGTAAAGGATGGTTAATAACAGTTCCTACTTTATTGATGAGAGGGTTGTTGTGAGGATGAAATACTGATGCATGGAACCAGGTTAGAGGCGTAACTATTATTATTCCTATGCTGTTCAGCTGCGATTCAGTCACCAGCCAGCAGCAAAAGGTGGGGAGAAGCAGATGAAGACAATGATAGCGATCATTCCTTGATGAAGATAAACCCACACAGAAAGGTCTGAGAGCGTTGCCCCACACTGCGGCAAACCTGTGGGTCGCCATTTATCACACGCATTGTGCCTGGAATGTGCCAGGTCCTGTGTCCTAAACACTGACATCATTCCTAAACCTCTTAGTGATGTCCATCTTGTAGAGAAGGGAAATGTCTTCTGAGGGTCCTGGTGGGGCTCGGCTCCGCCCGTCTCCCTCCGGCGTCCTGGCTGTCCTCTGGTCGCTCTGCTTCTGCATGGAGTCCTAACGTTAGGCAACCGCGCTGCGCTCCGTTTTTTGCACGGCTCAGATTCATTTCTGCTGTGGATGTGGGTTTATTTTGACTAGTTGGTAAATGAACAACTCATGAGGTAACTCGTGATGGTGAATCAAAGTGTGGGAGAAGAGAATAATGCCCTCCGTAGTGTTAGTGACGCTCAGAGAATTGCTCAATTCAGAAGTGATGTTCCCCAATTTATGCATTTTCTGTATTCGTCTGGAGATCAAGGAAGAAGTTTCAGTACTCTCAGTTTTTCAAAGCTGACTGTGGTTGAGGAAAGAAACGGAGGGTGTACAGTGTAAGTGTATTCTACGTTCTTGCAGTGATGTGTGGGTAATATTCTACTCTCTTCAGATTTCTTGTTGCTTTCCACACTTTGATATTAGTTATCCCTTTGATGGTGATCCATGTGATGTCTACGGCATGTGGGGAAACAATAAACTTGAGTCTGTCAGCCAGTGTTTCTCACATTAAATTTCCTTATGTTAATTGGAAGCTAGTTGTCGTAGAAAATGCTTTAAAAGTAGCACTTGGAAGATAGAGGTAGTAGCTGTATTTTTGCTGGTGTTTTTCCTTCTAAAAATTCAGAAACTTAAAAAAAATGTTGCATTATTATGGTGTCATATTTTGGTTAACAGAAAATTATCATAAATGCATTTCAATTTCCAAAAAAAATTACAAAATCACACAGAAAATGTAATTTCACTTTGCTGCTCACAGCATCATAGGAATTTACAGTGCTAGAACTATCAGTTCTGTGCTGGCTGTTACTAAAGTGCTAAGGCAATGTCGTATTAGCTGTGGTGAAGGGCTTGCTTTATGTACAGTGATTTTTTTTTTTACTTTCCTTGGTGGATGACTTTTATATTTTTTGTTCCAAAAATAAAATTAGCCATCGAAGAAAATGAAAGTTTTAACTTGGAGAATTTTTTTCTGTTTCACACATATACTTTGGAAAACTGTGCTGTCCATCACAAAAGAAGGATCTCCAGGAAGCTCATGGGAATGCTTAGTACGAAAAAACTGTGCATGAATTTCAGATTTTTTATGTGCCCCAAAATAAGCATCTGTCATTTTCACAGACTTTTTTAAAATAAAGACTTATATATTTTTATTAGAAAGGCAGATATACAAAGAAAAGGCGACACAGAGAGAAAGACCTTCCATCTGCTGGTTTACTCCCCCAAGTGGCTCAACAGTTGGAACCAAACCGATCCAGAGCCAGGACTCTGAAGCTCCTTCTGGGTGCGGGGTCCCAAGGCTTTGGGCCATTATCTTCTGCCTTCCCAGGTCACAAGCAGGAGCTGGGAGGGAAGTGGAGCAGTTGGGATATCAACCAGCGCCCATATGGGATCCCGGCACATGCAAAGCAAAGATTTAGCAATTAGCCTGTCATGCTGGGCCTGTCACAGACTTTTGAGGCACCATCATCCCATTCTACTGTTTGCTGTTGGTCACAGAGTGCATAACAAACCTCTTTATATGCTAGTCGTTCTAGTTCTGTCATGTTCTTTCAAGTGACTGAAGGAGGGCACTGCATGAAATATCCATTTATTTTATGGGCAATTTCCTGATAATGCAAATCTAAAGACTATTCTTACGTTTTTTTTACATTAGTATTTTGTTTATATGCTTATATACACAATTTTAAGAGCGTAAGGGGGGTGGTCTGGCACCGAATGGGCACTGGGTCATGTCCCAAATGTCCATTTCTGATCCAGCTCGCTGCTTATGGCCTGGGAAAGCAGTGGAGAATGACCCTAAGCCTCTCTCCATTCTGTAACTCTGCCTTTCAGATAAAAAGAAAATAAATGTATTTTTTAAGGTATAGAGTATAGTAAAATAGAAAGAAGCATGTCATATGTTGTAGAATGTTGAGGAAGTGATTCAGGGGATAATTTTGAAAAATTGAACCTGAAGAATGGATAAAGAAGTCTGAAAGAGAGAAGCAAGAAGTCGGATGGATGTAAGTGGATCTGCAGGTGCAGAGACCCAGAAGGGAGTATGGTAATCCAAGGTCCAAAAAACTTCACATTATGATAGGAATACAAGGAACAAAAGAGAATTATATATATATATATATATATATATATAATTATATATATATAATTATATATAAATATATATTTATATTTATATTTATATAAATATAAAGTATATATATATACTTGTATACAAGTATATATATATACTTGAAAATCAGAACTACAGAGTGAGAGATCTTCTATATGGCCACAAAAGCTGGAGTGGGCTGACCCGAAATCAGAAGCCAGGAACTCTTCCGGGTCTCCCACACCGGTGCAGGGTCCCAAAGCCTTGGGCTATCGTCCACTGCTTTCCCAGGCCATTAGCATAGAGCTGAATCAGAGCATTCAGAACTCAAACCAGCACCCATGTGAGACGCCAGCCCAAAAGCTGAGGGTTAGGTTGCAATGCCACCGACCAGCCCCAAGAGAGGTTTTTATTATTAGCTTTACTTAGGCTTTGAGATGGCACTGGAGAACCCTGGATGGTTTTAAGCAGGGGTGTAGTCACCTGTCCTGAGCAGTTTGAGAAGGATCTCTCTGACTGTAGTATATGAAAATCAAATTAAGGGCTTGCAACGCTGGAGAAAGACGATGGTGGTTTGAACTGGAGAAGCACTGAGTTGAAGAAACTGTGAAGCTAGAAGTGACAAGGTACTGGCTGAGGAGACACAAGCAGTGTGAGAGGGGTGGGCATTTGAGAAAGGAAGGATCAAGAGTGGGTTTTCCCTGAAGAGCGTAAACATGGGAGCCTTTGGGAAGGTTGAAATGCATGCATGGGAAGTGGATACAAAGGCAGGCCGTTTGACACGGTCACGATGGGCTCCACCTATCAGCTTTTCATCTGGTGTTTGTCTTGCTTGAGCTTGCTCTCTATAACTCCTGCCTTCCTACTGCTTGCTTCAACCTGTCTGGCTTGTAATATTTTGGAGGCATATTACTCTCTCTGGGTCCAATATCCTCACCCTCTGGTCAAAATTTGCTTTTTTGTTTTCCTCACCTTAGATGGGTATTGGTTCCGAATTACTGCAATAACAATTTCTCATGAACGTAGTGCTTAGAACTCTCACGCCTTGAGATCAGAAGCCAGAGTTTTATGGTAAGAAGCACAGTGCCAGGAGGGCTGTGCTGCTTCTGGTCTCTTCCACAGGGCACCTGCATCCTTGGCCCCCCACCCCCCGTCTTCAGTGCAGCATTTGAGAGCTCTGGCAGTCTTCTATCACCACCTCTTCTTCCTCTGCTTCAGCGGTGCTCATGTTGCCTTGTCTGGCTGTCCTTTCTGCATCCCTTTTCCTTGTTTGTTGTTAGGATTTATTTATTTGAAAGGCAGAATTAGAGAGGAAAGGAGAGGCATGTTCCATCCTCTGATACACTGTCCAAATGGCTGCAACAACCAGAGCTGGACCAGGCTGAATTCAAGAGCTTTGTCTGCATCACCCACGTGGATGACAGGGTCTCGGGGATTTAGGTCATATCTGCTGGTTTTCCAAGCACACTAGTAGGGAGCTGGGGCAGAAGTCAAGCAAGTGGGATTGACCCAGGATCCACACAGGATACCAGTACTGCAGGTGGCATTTTAACCCACTGAGCCAAGCACATCCCTATTCTATTTTGGCTCCTGAGATTACATTGGGCCCACTCAGCTGGTTTCCCTTATCAAGGTCCTAATATGACCAATCTGCAAGGTCCTTTTTGTCTGTATGAGTCATCTTTTCACTATTATAATGAAATTCTCTATTTTTGTAAAGGAGTTTACTTTGCTTCACAGTGCTAGAGGTGCAAGATCCAAGGCCTCATCTGCCAGTGCCCTTTCTTGGCAGTGGCATTCTCGCTGCCAGAGTCCCCAGGCAGAACAGAGCACCAAGGGCAGAGCCTTCATTGTGTGTCTTGCCCAAGGCACCTAGTTCAATAAAGGAGGCAGATGAATGCTTGTTGATCCAACGAATGAGTGCAACATGATAAACTTCTAGCCCAAATAATAATGTAGCCCCAGATAAGCAAAACTGATAGACCCAAGGAGGCAGGCATTGTGGAGCTCAGAGCTTGTGTTACATGGATTTCCGAAGGCTTAACTAGCGTGGTGGCTAGGTTACAAACTCTTGAGTCTCAATCAGGACGTATTTGAGCGTCCGCACAATTATGGTGTGGGTATTGTAAAAGTTCTACTCTCATTTTTTTAAAAGAAAAGATTTATTTTCTTGAAAGGCAGGGTGACAGAGAGAGAGGAAGAGTGAGAGAGGTGTTTTCCATATGTTGATTCATTCTGCAAGTGGCCTGAGTGTGGGCAGACCGAAGCTTGGGATCTGGAACTCCATCGGCTCTCCTGCATGGGCGTCAAGGGCCCAAGCACTGGGTACCTTCTGCTGCTGCTGTCTCAGCACATTATCAGGGGGCTGAATCAGAAGCAGAGCTGGATCACATGTAGGACTTAAACTGGTGCCTGGATATGGGATCAGCACATTAAGCAGTGGCTTAACCTGTGGTGCCACATTAGCCATTTTATATTCATTTGTAACCATATTTATTTTTATGTTGGTAAAAGAAACTTTCCAAATTATACTTGATGATGTCTGATTATTAATAGCCTTTCTTATCTCTTCTTAATTTGACAAATGATATTAAATGAGCTGTAATTAGGTCTCCTCATAGTATTAATAATAGCTCATTTGTTAGGCAGTAGTGATGTGTCAGTAATTTTATATGGGCCTTTTCATTTTTGCAACAGCCATCTGAAGGAGGTGGTGATCTCATTTTAGAGATGAGAACATTAAAAGTCAGAGAAGTTAACTACCTAGTGTATATTAGAACCGGAATTCATATGAGATGTGTCTGATCCTTTCAATCCTGTCTTTATAGTGAGTTACATTGCCACCCATTTGAAAATAAGTGGAATAGGTTTGGTATAAACATTAGTATTTCTATTTTCTGTTAGACAACTAGGTAATATTTAACTCCAAAAGATAAAGCTGCGCAACATTTTCTTCTATGGATAAAGCAAAAGGGGTTTAGCTGCTTTTCTAAAGTGTTCTTTAACTGCTTTTCTAAATACTATCAAATGCAGGATCTTTTGATGTTTGGACGAGGTTGTAGAGCAGTGTAATGATGGGTGTGTTCTCGCCACCTGTGTTGAAGTGAAACAGCTCTTGTGGAGTTGGAAGGCCCCTGTGCGTTCCTCCGTCTTGTCTTCCCCCTTGCCCTAAGCTGCAAGTAGTCCCCAGCACTGGGGCGTTGGCATCGGGCCCACTGCAGCAGCTGTCATATCTTGGCAGTTATCTGGTGCCTGAGAACTGTAGGGAAGTGTGAGTCAGTAGCATTCAACATTATTTTTTTTTTCTAAAAGAACACATTAATGTCTTTATGCTTTAGCTTCTCTACCTGATTGCCCACATATTTGTTTCAGGACTAAATTTTTGAATTATCTCCACCATGTCTCATTGTGAGGGAGAGCAATGAAAATGTGCAGTTTTAGAGCCTGCAGATAGGGGACCCCGAATCAACCCAGCTGGTTGACTATTTTCTCTGTTATGATTGAATTCAAATTGGAGTGAACAACCTGCATAGGTAATCCTGAGGACTCCATGGCGGAAGATGAGTGGGGTAGGTCTACACCCTGCTTATATTTCAGGCAAATGAACACTTGTTGTGTTTCTAACATTTTCTCTCGATTTTTTAAATTAATTTTTTCATGTATTTTCATTTTACTTGAACAGGCAGAGAGACAGAAGGCAGAGAGAAGTCATTCATGCACTGATTCATTGCCAGAAGTCATGGTTGGGGCTGGGCAAAGCCAGGGCCAGGAGCCAGAGATTCCGTCTAGACTTCCACGGGAGTGGCAGGGACCAGAAACCCGAGTTGACACCTGCTGCCTCCCAGGCTGTATATTAGCAAGAAGCTAGAATTGGGAGTGGGGGTGGGATGGAAATCCAGGCCCCCTGCAGTGGGATGCCTGGGACACAAGTGGTGTCACAACCACTGTGCCATTGTCCCCACCCGCACCTCCCCCACTCCACCACTGATTTTAAAAGTTCAGTTTAGTATTCTTTTTTTTTTTTTTAAGATTTATTTATTTTTATTGGAAAGGCAGATATATAGAGGAGGAGAGACAGAGAGGAAAATCTTCCGTCCAATGATTCACTCCCCAAGTGACCGCAACGGCCATGCTATGCCGATCCGAAGCCAGGAGCTTCTTCCAGGTCTCCCACACGGGTGCAGGGTCCCAAGGCCTTGGGCCGTCCTCAACTGCTGTCCCAGGCCACAAGCAGGGAGCTGGATGGGAATCAGGACCACTGGGATTGGAACCTGCGACCATTTGGAATCCCGGCAAACGCAAGGCGAAGACTTTAACCACTACACTATTGTACCAGGCCCTCAGTTTAGTATTCTTATGATCTACGCATCAATTTGCCTTGTGATAGATTCCCAGGAAGGTTGGATTATAGCTTGAACTCGGTCACTTGAGAGGTCAGCTTTTGCCCTGATGTAAATGAAAAGACTAAAGTTAGCAAAGAATTGTAATAAACTTTTCCAGACAGACGGGGCAAAAACAAAGACCAGTGTGTTGCTATTTAAAATGAGGTTCTGAAAATAGGATATTGTATGTTCAGGATAATTGTTTTGTAGGAAAAAGGAAATAGAGGTTGCAACTTTGAGGTACAGAGAGAGGTAATAGCTGAGCAAGGGCTAGAAACATGATGAGATCAGATACTGACCCAGCAAGGCAGCCAGTCTTCCTTGGAGTCAATTGCCTAAAACCCAAAAATGATTTCACACAGAGTAGTGAATGAGCAGAAACTGCCCAAAGCTGATTCTTAGCGTCTGAAACATGGTAAGTGCTCATCAATTAATTGACAATCGATTCATACAGTCTCATCAGCTTGTACAAAAATGTTCCAATAAAAGCTGATGTTATGTCTGTGGTAGCTTTCCATTTGTGAAAATACATTTAACTTACCTGGCTGCCATTTTAGTAAATAATTTATTCTTACAGGAAGTTCTGATGATTATGCTTTTATCTTCTTCCAAAAATAGTTCTTATTACCCAGGAGAATGGTTTGGAAAAAATTATAAATGAACATCCTCTTGCTGAAATTCCAGTGATCAAATGTTAAGCATAAATTCTTCATTTCTTTCATAAAAATAATTTTTGCTAAATTGTCTATTAAAAAGTGCAACGACAGAACATTCCTGTGATGGCTTCTTTGTGAACGTGTCACTGTTCCTGATTTGCACACGCCTTGTAATTTAGGCTTGCCTTTGTTATGGCTTGGCACTTCCAACTGTTCAAGCCCTTGTCAGATTCTGTGGAACTCCATTTTAATGGGAACAGCTTCTTTGCTGAATTTTTGAAAAATGGACTTGGAAGCTTCTTACTGTGGATCTTTGTTGGAGACAAAGGATTATTTATGCTAAAGGAAAATGTATTCCCCACTGAATGAGCCTGTGACCAGGAGAACAGGCCCAGTAATAATGCTCACTTGTACTTTGGCCTTTTGCTGTGGCAGAAAGAAGGAAAAATTACATTCAAAAGACATTCCTTTTTTTTTTTTTTTTTTTTTTTTTTACTTTCCTGCAAAGAAAATGTGAGTCAGTGCTAGGCTGTGGTTCAGCTTAGCCCGGGTTCACCTTTGCTATCAGAAGAAACCTTCCAGAAAGGAAATAGGTATGTGTGGTGGCTGCTGTGTGTGAGGTACGTCTGATATAACAGGCAGGAGGAAATAGTTTGCTCTCAGGTTTAAAATTGTCTTACAAAGAGGCTTTGTTTTTTTCCTTAGAAATTTTTTTCTTAGAATGTTTTTTCATAGAATTTTCAAATTCTATTATTTAATTAATTTCTAAGAAATTTTTCTCAGAACGTTTCAGTGATAGTTTGCAATAATATAGCCCATTGGCTTATTGTATTGCTTTTCGCGATTGAAAATACCCAATCTGATATTTTGTCTATATTGTGAGTGTCTTTAAGCTCTTCACTTTTCCCCTTGGAATTATATTGATTACTTTTATTAACCAGATTAGATTATTTTTCCTTATAGGTTTCAAGAATAAAACTTCAGATGTCAAACTGATTCTTTTGGGTTTTGTCTTTGAAAAATTATTACAGAAAAGCTTTGGGTGTATTTTCCACAGTTAAAACTGATTTTGTATGTTTACAACTTTGTTGTCTAGTGGAAGAAACCTATGGTTGGTTAACCTGATAAACTCTGTAGTCTAGGTGACTAGTACGAGTTCTGGGAAAACGAGGCACTTGATTTCTGATATCATTTTATGCAGTATTTACACTATGTTTACAGGGGAAAATAACATTCTTGAAGACTTCATACAAGCTATGTTTTAATTTTAATTTTACCTAATTAGCTAAATGCTGCAAGAATTGCTTTGCTATCACTGCCAGAAAAACCACATATTAAAGCATGTTTCAGATTTTCATCTTTGAAATGAGGAATGACTTTATGAAATGAGAAGTTAGAGCCTAACTGTCCCAACAAGAAGAAAAGAAGAAAAAGTTTTTGGTTGCCGGTTAAAACAGGAGAACAAGGCACATTCCCACTGATTTGGAGGTTTCAGAAAGTAGGGAAGTTGCCATTATGTGCATGTTAACACGTTTTTCTCTTTTCAGGAAAACAACTTCATCTCAGTAAAGAAGACCATGCAGCCTGCAGTTCAAGTAAGTGTTTTTCTTGGAGAAAAATATGTATTTAAGTTTAAATATAATCAGTGAGATAATAAGTCATTAGAAAATATTTTTATGACACCAGTGTTTTAAGCATCACATTTTTAATAACAAAAATACCTCGCTTTGGTTTGTTCTTTCTGAAAAGATTTTAATGGCAAGCTTTTGTTTGTACTGAATATGTGTAAGAATCAAAACAACTTTAAGGTTGGGAAATAGGTCTTCATACCAACCTTGGAAAAGAATTGGACTGCTTTGTCATTTCCTCCTCTTTGAAGTTTGGTGGGTATCTGCAGCTAAAAGAGCTTTTGGGGAAAAGACATACAAATTTGTTTTATTTTTTTAACAATTGTGGATGTACTCAGCACATGCATAAATATGACTAGGCATTAAAATTTAAGAGTGGTGTGTGTGTGTGTTTTGTAGGAGGAGAAATGCAGAGGAAAATCAGAGCAGGACAACTTCATTTGTAACTAATTTCCAGAATTGGTGTTTGCTATGTTATTGTATGTATTCAGTGAAATAACATGTGCCGAGGTCCTGCCAGAATTTATATGGTCTAATAAACATGTTAGAAATCTGTTGTGTGGTTAGTACACCAAAATCATCCCGAAGTTAAACCGGAAAAGGAAGAAGGCTTATCAGGAGACCCGTGGGCGACAGCCTGGAGAAGAGCGTTTGTTATGGAGTGCTCCAGAACAACCCTGAATGCCGTTCTGCTTGTAGGCCTTCCTGTGCTCTGTAGCTCTACAGAGTCCCAGCATGCAGTGTTGCTTTTGGGACCTGGGAGTCCACCACAGTCCCCCAGGAAGTCGTATCTCCCTCCAGGGCTTTAGTATGCTCATTAATCCTTTTACCACCCCAAATCTTTTTTTTTAATACACCTTTCAGAGTTGTCATTAGTTTCTCATTGATTACCTTTTTCTTGATTCTTTGTAGTGTTAACAACTGCCATATTGACCATGTTTTCTTCATATTCAGAATACTCATTATTTTTTAATTTTGTGATTTTTTTTTTTGAGTAAGCACATCTTTTTTTTTTTAGTATCAATCTCCTAACATTCAATCTCCATGTAGTGAACCAAGAAGGGCAAAATGATACATAAATCTGCAGTGTGGGCATTGGAGGAGAGAAAAGAACCCCCAGATTATGGAAACAGAATCATACGTAACGAGTAGTCAGCATATCTCCTCTTTGCTGTAGTAAGAGATATCATGTCTCCCGAGGCAATGTGATATATGTTTTGGAAAGATTGCTCACACACAGGTAGGCAAGGGGTGCATAAACACAAGGTGCCTGTGGAGCAGTGATGCCCAACGATATTTATAACTACATTAGCTGCTATCTTTTCTAAACACTTGCAGTGTGAAAATGTACATTCTGTGCAAAATAATACCACTACAAAAAGAATAAACATTTGAGAAGTATCTGAATTTTCTACAATTTCTGTATTGCAGCACTGGAGAATGTCCAGACCCTGGGCATATAGTGCACAGAAAATCACCTGGTCTGGTCCAGACAAGAGAGCCACAGGTGGATTTGAAATTCAGTAAATCCACAGCTGGATAATCCTTAAATTAAGACTGTTGTATGGCCCACAAGTGAAGTTATAAATATCCAGATGGTCCATGGCAGAAAAGGGGTTCCCACCTCACAAGAGGGAGGATTTTGACCTTCGATCTCATTTATGAATATTAATGAATCTAAAAATATTAATGCGAAAGTACTAGATGGTACACTGAAACAATACTTTCGATAGTTTTATCTTAAGGATGCACAGAAACTTCTCTGGTCTAGATGCCACTGATGGATCTTCATTAAGTGTTTGCCAAATGTAGCCTGCATAGCTTTCAGGAAGAGTTTCACTTCTCTCCCTGCTGACTGTGGCGATGTTTCAGGACTTTGACCTTTTTCTCTGCTAGCCATATCAGATATTTGTATTCATAAATGCCTTTTAAAGGGGGTACCAAATAGCTGTTATTAATTGACTTCTTATTTAATACAGTAACATCATTCATACTCTTCTGTGCCTCTCATTCTGATTAATCAGTGTACAATCTAAAAATTGATCAACCAGGATTCTTTTTCTTTTTCTCCTTTTCTTTCTTTCTTTTTTTTTAAATTTTGTTTTATCACACAGTTTTATAGGCTCTGGGATTCCCCCAACCCCTCCCAGTGCCCTCTCTCCCCCCATGGTGGATCCTCCACATTGTTGCAGTAGTACAGTTCATATCCAGTCATGATTTCTTCATTGTGAGCATGTGCCATGCATAGTGTCCAGCATCTTATTGTCCAGATAGTTTCTTTTCTTTTCTTTTCTTTTTTTTTTTTTTGCAAAGTCAGATATACAGGGAGGAGAGACAGTGAGGAAGATCTTCTGTCCAATGATTCACTCCCCAAGTGACCGCAACAGCCGATGCTATGCTGATCCGAAGCCAGGAGCTTCTTCCAGGTCTCCCACATGGGTGCAGAGTCCCAAAGCCTTGGGCCGTCCTCGACTGCTTTTCCAGGCCACAAGCAGGGAGCTGGATGGGAAGTGGAGCTGCCGGGATTAGAACCGGCACCCATATGGGATCCTGGCATGTTTAAGGCGAGGACTTTAGCCGCTAGACCACACTGCCGGGCCCCTATCCAGATAGTTTAAACAGTTTCTTTGGGAGACCATCCCTGGTCTGAAAGTAGAGCTGGCAGAATATCATCCTCTCCAATGAAAAGCCACAACATCACCTCAACAATTAACAACATTATGGAGTTGATTGACATGGTATTGAGGGACCAATATGTTAGAAAATGCAAGTTCTTAACCACATCCTGTGACTACTTCATTGACATTTCAGTTTTAGTTTATACACAACCGGCTGCTATACACCTTAAAGTGGTTATAGGGTGCTATTCAGCTGTCTTGTGTCTATTTCATTTTTTATATTTAACAGCTTATAGTATTCAAGCATGATTTTTACTGAACTTCACAAATTTTAGGATAGTCCAAACAGGCTTATAACTCTAACAAGGCATGTGTTAACAATTGGGGCGCAGAACAGTTTTAGGTAGGGTGTGCAGAGAAATCTCCAATACCTTAGTGAGGAGTAACTAATCTTTGTGTCCTACCTAGTAAAGGTATATGTAAATCCACGCTGACCATTTCTTGTCTGTTCTAAGCTTTCCTTATTGGTCTCTGTCTATCTAATCTAATTTTGGGGGAATCAAGGGGAGCCTCCGGAGCGACCCTGATGGTCATTGCAAGAGAGGGTGGGGATCCGAAGTTGGAAGTAAGGACCAGAGAAAGCTCCTCTCCCGGGACCTGAAGGAGATTTACTGGATGAACCAGAATTCTTAACTTCTTTTGAATCCTGGCCTTTTGAGAATCTGATAAAACTACAATCTCTCTTTGAGAAAAGAACCATTTGTGTTTAGTCATAATTTTTTCCCTAAATGGAAACAACCAGTTTATGTATCTAAGTTCATCTACAGACTAGCTGTGGATGAAGAATCTCTGCAATGTGACAGCTTTTGCCATGTTTTAGAACAACTTTTATGTATGTGGTATTTTGGAGAGGGGGAGGAATTCTGCTTACAGGAATAGAAGAATCTAACATACACTTCTCTCCAATATATCAAGAAGAAACATGACTTGTTAGTGTTAACTTCTGCATTTTCGTGTGTAATTTTTACAGAACCATCCTTCTAACGCGTTTACCTTTCCTTGACAAGCATTCATACTTGCTCTTCCATTTTCCAGCTGTACCAGTGATTGTAAAGGACATTAGGAAGGACATTAGGGTCTGACACCTTGCACAGGGCTGTCCCTGTGTGTGGATGACTTCTCACGTCACTCAAGCTCTGACATTTCATTCCAAGCAAGAACCTCCTTGTCACATCCCTTGTGCTCTAGCGAGACCCTTCCAGAGTTGTTTAGGATGGGGCAGGGCAAAGGCTATTTACATATTTTTCAAAAAGTTTATAATTAGATGACTGTTTCTTTGACAATTTAAAGAATTGACTATGATCTTTTCTATAAATACTCAGATAAAGACAGGTCTAGTTGTATTTCAAAGTTCTCTATGCTTTGGTTTGACAGTATGCCTATGCTGCTCTTCACGCTCCTCTTGGCATTGTCCAGGTCATAGGAAATATTTTAGGCTTTGCCAGCCAATAGCAAAAGTGAGATGATTAAACAGATAACTCCTTAACAGTCATCATAAAATGTAAAACCTATTATTAGCTTGTATGCTAAGCAAAAGCAGGTGACTCACCAGTCTTGCCCTTGTGGACTTTGTAACAAACTGCATAGATTTAAACAAGGATAGTTAGACATTTTTTGTTTTAAAGATAATGCAGTTAGAATTTAAGTTTACAAAAATGTGTATTTTTTATATGCATTCATTTAGCCACCCATTCAATGCATTCTGTTGAATCTCAGTTATCTGATAGCCCCAATGCCAGATGCTATGTAAATGTATCTTGTAAGGCAGGGGTTAATAATCCATTTTATAATTAAGATAGTAAACACTTAGCTGACAAGGGACAGAAAAATATTTGTCAGATTGTATCTCCTTGACTGTAGTAGAACCCACTTATTGGTTAGGGGGCTCATATACATTTAACCACAAGATTCAACAGTGAAGACATCCCAGGGACTGATAGTTTGGGTCTAACATCCATATTTTATGTGATCTGCAGTTTCTACATATGTGTAAATATATATATTTTATATATGACTTATACTTCATTATTTAAATGTGGATGTAAATTACTATGACTTTTAATATAAGACTGCATTCATTTATTCGATTGGCATTTTCTTTAGGTTTGGTTTGGAGAAGATCTGCCTTTAAGTCCACGGAATCCTCTGACTCCCAGACATGGGCCAGGGTTGGCCAATGTTTGTCAATATGATGAGTGGATAGCTGTGAGACATGAAGCCACTCTGTTGCCTATGCAAGAAGATCTGTCCATCTGGCTGTCTGGTTTGTTAGGTAAGGCTAGCAAGGATATCCGAAATTGTATTATTACCCAAGAAGTATTTAATGAGAGCCTTACTCTTTGCTGAAGAGTGATTGTAGCGAATGAAATACTCAGTGTTCTCTCATTGTCCCAAACAAACAACCTGGTTGGGGAGGTCGTCTGAACCAGCCTGAGCACTAGGAAATCTAAAGTAGCTGAAGAGATCAGTATGTTTTGAGTTTCAGTGTTTTTATTTGTGCATATTAAATATATCTTAAAAATTTATGTATGTCTAATTTGGTTTTGTTTCACTGACCTCTCCCCGCTCCCTTCAATAAATCTTTTACAGGCGTGAGATTCCTGGTGGAATCTGTTTATACTAGTTAAAACACTGATTAATTCTCATGTGCTGAGGGCTGGAGATATATGAAACCCAGGAGGAAATGGCAGGGTGAAGATGGTCTGGTGTCGTGCTTCTAATTCATTAGACATCTTGATAAATGCTCTGAATTTTCACCCAAGAAAATCACTTTAAATACATAATTTCGTGTGATAGTTCAGAATTTTCATGAAAAGATACATCCTCATGATTGTTGATTGTTCTCTAAAAAATAGCTAAACATACACCATTCTCTCCCTCTACATGCTTGTTATCAGTATTTGGATCATTTTTATAGCTTCTTTTGTGCTAATGATGCTTTAAAATGGTATTTTAGAGATGATGAAAAGTTGGTTATTGGTTATGGTACTACTATCTTTAATTTTTAAATTATGAATAAAGTCCATTTTATTTATAGAAAAATGTTTGTGTAAGCAATGTGAATATGCAGTGAACTTATTTCATCCTAATGTCAACTTGCTTTTTATGAAACTATGTCATGGATATTTCTGTTTCTATTGGGTCATCCAGCTTGCCAGTTTGCTGGGTTCACTTACCCTCTGAAGTGAATATTTGGAATTGATACTTTTGTAATATTTGAACTAGAATCTATGTGTTTTCTAGCGTTTGAACTAGGATCTGTTTCCATTTAATTACATTCTAATGATTATTTGATTTCACTGTTTCTAGAAGAACTTTAACTTTGAAATATGTTTTTAGGTATTGAAGTCAAGGCGGAAAGCCTATTGGAAGAGCTTGACAATGGAGTGCTGTTGTGCCAGCTGGTTGCTGTTCTTCAGAACATGGTGAAAGCATGCAGCCTTGAAGAGCCGCGAGTAAGTGAGCGTGTGGCAGTGGTGGTTCCACAACTTGGTGCATATTGATTTGTGCACGTGCATTTCTTTCCTCTGTAAGGTTGTAACCTTCCACCTGGCTGTGACACTTTGGATAACTGACCTAACCTTTTTGAGCTACAAGTGGGAAAATGTATTCCTTTGTAAGTTATTCACATTTCACCTGCAAGATTTCAGTGAAATTAAATGAGATATTCGATTTTATTTTTTGCAATGATCATTAGGTCTTCAGTTTTAAAAACGGTATTTTAGTTCTGGGAAAAATAACAGGAATATACAGGGAACTGACGGTAGTGACTGTTTCTGGTTAGAGAGAGGAGCTGCAGGGTAGAGATGGGACGAGACTTACTGAAACTTGCTGTGTCTTCTGCATTCGAAAAATCATGTTCCAGAATTGCTTATTTGAGCAAAATTTTAAACTAAAATAATTCTCAGTACGATTAAGTACTTGGATCAGGTAGTCCGATTAGGATTCTATGAAATGGGGACCATCTGTTTTCAAAGAACTTCAGAGTGGACAACTACTTCCTTATTTGAAGAAATTAAAAACATCTTTATGAAGATGTACATCAGGAAGAAAGCCAGAGTGAATGTGCCTGTAACCTAAGATAGCGATAATGTGTTGTATTGAGCTATGTGTGGAGAATATACCATAGAAATCTGCTTTGGAATTATCAGAGTGATGTTTTTTTTAAAAGAAGGAGATTAGAGCTGTTTGATGCTACTGTTAGTTTTGACCAGATTGTTAAATATTTCCTGGAATGTAGCTTAAAGCATAGTAAAATTAAATAATTTTTTGGAAGATAGTCTTTATCCCAAAGCTGTATATTTTTTAGTTTGATTTAATGCATTGAATAATTACTTAGTAATAGTCAAATGAATAACTAATGAAAATATCCCTGGTGCATTTTTGAAAGTATTCCTTTTTCTTTTCCAGAATTTTCCAATGAGAAAAGTGCCCTGTAAGAAAAATGCTGCACCAGGTTCATTCTTTGCCAGAGACAATACTGCAAACTTCCTCCACTGGTGTCGACACATTGGGGTTGATGAGACTTACCTCTTTGAGTCTGAAGGGTTAGGTAAGTGTTGTGGTCATCATCATTGTTCGTTTTGATATTCATCAGGACTTTTTTACCCCTCATTTTTTGTTTGTTTACAAATATGGACTCAAATGGTGCATCTTGTTCTCCTAGAAAGAGCTGTGCTCAAGTTTGTAAGGAGCAGGCCTTGAACCCTGTGGTAAGGATACTGGTTGGGATACCTGTCCTTGGAGTGCCTGGGTTTGAGTCTCAGCTCCACTGCTGATGTCAGCATCCTACTAATGACCACTCTGGAAGGCTGTAGGTGATGACTCAAGTATTTGGGTCCCTGCCACCCACATGGGAAACATGATTGAGTTCCCAGCCCTTGGTTTGGGAGTGAATCAATGGATGAGTTGTTTTGTTTTGTTTCTCTCTCTGTGTTTTTTTTAAGATTTGTTCATTTTTATTGGAAAGGCGGATTTACAGAAAGAAGGAGAAACATAGTGAGAGAGATCTTGCATGTGCTGGTTCCCTCCTCAAGTAGCCACCATGACTGGAGCTGAGCCGATCCAAAGTCAGGAGCCAGGAGACATGTGGGTGCAGGTCCCAAGGCTTTGTGTCATCCTCTACTGCTTTCTGAGGTCACAGGTAGGGAGTTGGACCATCCAGGGCATGAACCATCACTCAGGTGGGATTCCAGAGCTTACAAAGTGAGGATTTAGCCACTGAGCCGTTGTACCAGGTCCAAATTCTTTCTAAATAAATTTTCTCAGAAAGGTGTTGGACTAATGCTTTTGTAATACTTTTTTTTTTTCAAGAATCACCTTTTCAAATCTAAATTACTAGTGATTTTTCTCATAACTATATAATTGCAGAAATAACAAGTGCAAATAATAAGCACTGACAGTGTTTAGATTTACCTTATAAACAACAGCTGCCATCTTGGTCATCTAAATGGGCTGACTTGACAATTTTGAAAAGTTATATTCTATTACTGACAATTTTTACATTTCCTTTAAGTAAATAGAGGCATCTGTCCAGTGGTTAGATTAGTAGCTATCCAACTGAATTTTATACTGGATGTATTTCCACCATTTATACATAGGGGTGTGTGTGTGTGTGTGTGTGTGTGTGTGTGTGTGTGTGTGTGTGTGTAGTTGCTTCAAGAAGCTTATGAAAATGGGTTTTAAAGATGAGCTTATTTTGCTGGCAGTCTTGAAGTCTGTGCATACTCAAGGTCATCACAGAGCTCATGAAAAATGTGTAATGTGAAAAAAACTATGCATGGAGTTCAAAACGTTTTATTGCACCAACATGAACTTATGATTTTATTTTTCCCCAAACTTTTTGAAGTATCTCATACAAATATATGCATCCGTTAACACAAACACACATGGAATTCTTGGTGTTGTGCTGGGAGCAGTGGCACACCCAGGCTGTAGCTGTGAGAATTGCTTTCCTGGGTAGAAAGAAGTTTTATCACTGACATTGCTTAGAATTTCTGGTTCTTAGTGATAACAAAAACCAAACTAACTTTCAGTTGGTTTAATTATAATCTTTAAATTCTACAGTGCCAGTGTATACCCTGCTAGCCTGCACTCAGGATAAGCTGCTACCCAATCCGGGTGCTTCTGGATTCCTCTGTCAGATGTGCAGTAAGGTGTAATGCTTGCTCCTCTCAGCCCTCACCTCACTCTGCCTGAAGTCCAGGCGTGCCAATCACCATGACAGGTGGATTGAACGGCACATCCGTCTTCTGAAGATCAAAATGAAAAGGACGTGCTTCCCTTTCCTGTTTCTGAAAGGATATGATTTTGTATTTCTCATGTTCAGCAGAAGACGTCTTCTGACTGTCCTGAAGGTCAGGGTAGGACTCAGCAAAGCACCACCAATGCCATGAACTCATTTCTAGGGATTAACTGATCGGTCATCTAATGCTTTCACTCTGGAAACTACGCAGAGATGAGCCTTTAAGTTTTTGCTTTGCAAAGGACTGGAGGTAATTTAAAGAAATAAATAGATAATTTTAAGGTGTTTCTAATGGTGTAAAAACAAACAAACTTTTTTTTTTGTAAATTCATTCATTGGCAGGAATTTTAATCTCAGTTATCAACTTTTCATTGATTTTAAAAGATTATGCCTTGTGCTGGGGGAGTATAGTAGATGCTAGTTATAACTTAGAGCATCTGTCATTTCTATGAGAGAGTTACAGGGTACTTGCCATTCATCGCACACTGCACATTCCTAGATTAGAACTCACAACTTTCCTGGAGTTTCTGACTCCACGGACTGGATCAGAGAGAGAGATAACCCACAGCAACCGTGCTGGTGCACTGAGCCGAAGTTCTACCATCAGGCTTTGTCCTTGGAAAGTTAAGCTGTGCTTTCCCTAACATAATGTTTACCTTTTAGAAATGTCCATGGCAGTTCTTTATTATGTTCACTGTATTGTACCATCATCACCACTGGATAATTTCAGGACATTTCTATTACTTCCAACAGAAAACCCATGCCTACTGGCAGTTGTTTCAATTACTCCCTATGTGCTGGCTGCCACTAGTCTAATTTCTGTCTCTATGAGTTTGCATGTTCTGGTCACTTCATATAAATAAAATCATACAATATGCAGCCCTTTGTGTCTCGTTCCTTCAGTTAATATAATGGTTCATTTACGTTGTAGCATGTAACATTGTTCCTTTTTCATGGCTGAAGATATCTCATTGTATAGATATTCATGTAGTTTAAACCCATTCATCAGGTGGTACACAATTGGGTTATTTTCACTTTCTGGCTATTATGAAAAGTACTTCTATGAACATTTTTTATGCAACTTATGGCTTTAACTCTCTCAGGTATTCCTAGGCATGGGATTGCTGGGTTTTTCTCACACAGTGACTTTATGCTGATATTTTTGAGGAACCACCAAGCTATTTCATAGTGGCTGCACCGTTGAACATTCCCACCAGCAATACAAGAGTATTTCAATTTCCCCACATCCTCACCAACACTTCTTGCTGTCTGTATTTTGTTTTTATCAAAATCATCGTAATGGGGAAGAAGCAGCATCGCATGGATTTTGATTTGTCTTTCTTTAGTGACATTAAGAATGTTTTACGAGCTCTGTGGTTATGCCTGTGTCTTCTTTGAAGAAATGCGTAATCAAATCATTCTGTTTTGGCCCATGTTTCTTCTTTGTTGATTTGCTAGAGATCTTTGTCTATCTAGACACTAGTCCTTTATCAGATATGATTGGCGTATATTTTTCTGGCCTTTGGGTGTCTTTTTACTTTGATAATGGTATAATTTGATGCACAAATGCTTTAAATTTTGATAGTTTACATTATCAATTGTTTTTGTTTGTTTGTTTGCTAATCCTTTCGGTATCATCTCTAAATAAGCATAGCCTAGTTAAGGCCATGCAGATTTCTACCTGAGTCTCCTTAAAAGAGTTAAAATGCAAATCTTTTGCATTTAGATGTTTGCTCCATTTTTAGTTCACTTTGGTATGTACTGTGAAGAAGGGCTCAGGTTCATTCTTCTGCCTGCAGACAGCCCATTAGTTGAAAAAAGATTATTCTTTTCCTGTTGAGTTGTCTTGGTACCCTTCTTGAACATAAATGGTTGCTTTCATTTCTGGATCCTCAATCTTCTTCCATTGATCTCTATGCCTATACTTATGCCAATAAAATACTGACTTAATTATTATATCCTAATATAGTAAGTTTTGAAATCAAGAAATATATATCTTCATTTTTTGGGAGGAGGATTGATTTAGCTATTTTTTTGCACCTTACAATTCCATGTAATTTATCATCAGCATGTTAATTTCTGAAGAAAGGGCTGTTAGAGACTGTTTTGAATCTGTCACTTTTGGAATCGTTGCTACCTTAACAGCATTATCTCCTAATCCATGAGCATGGAATGTTCTTTAATTTATGTCTGATTTAGTTTCTCATAGTGTTTTGAAGCTAGTCTAAATGGAATTTTTAATTTTTGTAATTTCATTTTCAAGTTATTTCATTTCCAACTTATAAAAATAATTTTTGTCTGTTGATATGGTATTCTGCAGCTTTGCTGAATTTGCTTATTAAGTTTTTTTTTGGTGGTGCTCTTTGGGATTTTTCTAAACACAGAGTTATGTTGTCTATGATTAGACAGAGTTTTCATTCCTACTTTCTAATCTAGATCCTTTTTGCTTATTTTTCTTGCCTGCATGCCATGGCTAGGACCTCGAGTATAATGCTCACTAGAAGCGGTAAGAGTGCTTCTCCCTGTCTTTCCCCTGATCTTGGAAGAGAAGCTTTGAGTCCTTTACCCTTAAGAGTGGCATGGGCTGTGAGCTTTTTATAGATGTCCTTTAGCAAACTGAAAAACTATTCCTAGTTTATTGTCATTTTTTTTTTAACCAAGAAAGGATGTTGATTTTTTTTCTGCTCTTTTCTGTGTCTTTTCAGATAATTGAGTCTTTGTTTTATTTTGCAAATTATATATTGCCTTGGTTGTTCTTATGTTGAACTAATTTTGCATTTCTCTCATAAATCTCATGGTTTTTACTCCTTTTTAATATGTTGCTGACCTTTGCTGGTATTTTATTGATAATTTGTGTATTGTTCCTTAGTTTTCTTGTGTTTGTTTGGCTTTGAGATTGGGGTGATGTGAGCATCAGAGAATGATTTAGGAAGTGCTCCCCCTTCTGTTTTGATAAGAGTTTTGATAGACGCATGGGCACATAGCACTGTGCTGATGATAGCATGGAATACAACTGAAATGTCTAAAAGAATCTCTCATGGAGGTATCTTAAATGTAACTAATTTAATGCTACAAAAACCCTTAGTGTTTTATATCTAAAGAACTGCTATTCTCCTGTTAGTCAATTTTGAAAAATAAAAATAATTGATAAAAGATAAGGATAAATAGAAAATATAAATATATTTATTTTAAATCTTTACAAACAAGTAAGCCCACTGTATTCCTTCTTTTTTATTTTGCCCTTTTCCATGCCAAAAAATGTGTCTTCCTATTTAATTTTGCTTTTTAATACGTATCTTATTTCCACAGTTTTGCATAAAGATCCAAGACAGGTATATCTTTGTCTACTTGAGATTGGACGAATTGTGTCCAGGTATGTATTCCAAAATATTTCAGAATGTCAATTTTGTAAACATTTTGAAGCTATTAATTTTAGCTTATAACACCATTTTCCCTAAAAACCCAATATCTTATTTCAACTTCCTTTTGGTGTCTTAACTTTGTTTACTATGTTTAAGCATATGTCAACATCTGTTTTTTCTTAGTATAGCTTGCCTTTATTTCATATTAAATTGAACATGATTATTTAAACTTTCTTTAGATAAGGCAAGGGTAAGATCAAGAAGTTTTAATTACAGTTTCAGGCAAAGCAAGTCCTCTGAACATAGAGAGGGTGTGTTAAGAGGACCAAGGCCTGTGCCTCCTGTACCTACTTCAGCCTCAATCTTTTTTCACTCCTGGTTTTAAAGGTGTCTTTCAGAATCCCAAGTAGATTTTCAGGATTTCTAGTAGCCCCGATGTGTGCTGTGCTGTGAAGATGCTCATGTGGGTTTTTGGCAACCTACGAGACAGTCAAAAGCATTTCCACATGATTTAATAAAACAACACAGCTGGTAGAAGAGAATCGTGTAGATTTTTCTTCAAAACAGTGTGTGTGTGTAACTGTGTATGTGAGAGAGAAGGGGGAGAAGGGAAGGGAAGGGAAGGGAAGGGAAGGGAAGGGAAGGGAAGGGAAGGGAAGAAAAGGAAAGGGAGGAGGAGAAAATGATATCTTGATATCCAGGGAAGTGTTTGGGTCACCTTTGCTTGAATGATCATATCTTTTGCTTGGTTTTCAGATATGGAGTGGAGCCACCAGTGTTAGTAAAACTTGAGAAAGAAATTGAGTTGGAAGAAACCTTGCTCAATACTTCTGGGCCTGAAGATTCGATTAGCATTCCGAAATCATGCTGCCAGCATGAAGAGCTGCATGAAGCTGTAAGTAATGGCCCATTTTTTTTTTTAAAGAAATTTTGTTTGTTTGTTTTGATATCTTGGAGTTTGCTAGTTTTATGTACCTTTAGTTTGCTACACATGATGGTGGTGATTAAAGGAAATTGTTTCTTGTTTATTGCCATACATTAGCTACAAATCTCCACTTACTGATGAGTTCAAGGAGCTATATATGTTTTTTTTTTTCTTTTAAGTTTTTGCAGTCTTAATGGCCAGGGCTGGGACTAGACAGAAGCCAGTAGTTTAAGATGCTGATATTGTAGGCAGTACATTACCCCTTCGGCTCAATGCCAGCCTCCAAGGCACATTTTAAGGGCGATGTCATTTGTGTAGGTTGAAGAGTGGGTTAAGTTGTGTAATGATGGAGTCAACAGACAGGAACCCATCATGAAGGGTAGCGTAGGCCATTGATTTTTGTTTTAGCGTGGCAGGATTATAATCTCATTTCCAAATTATGAGGATTGCTCTCATGGTCACATAGAGGTTGTATTGGTGTTATGGTACTTATCCGTGCGTAAGATGATGAAAGCTTGAACTTGAACAGCAGTAGAGGAAACAGAACAAAAGGAATAAATCTGAGACATCTGGGAGGTAGAATTGACAGGAATCAGTAGCTACTTATGGGGAAGGCAGAAAAGCTAGAGCACTGTCCGGATTTTCTAAGTGAATAGTGAATGCATGTACACTTGGAGAATCCAGGAACAGGAAAACTTGTGAAGAGCACTGATGAATTTATTTCTGAATTCCTCCCTGACAGCTTATTGCTAGATATGTTAAATTGAAAAGTCTTCTAAAGTTTATACTCATTATGTAGAAGTTCATGGAATTGCATTTTATTAGGCTGTGGGTTTTCTGTAGCAACCGCAGTATTAAGGGATAAAGGTAAATTTAGTATCAGACATTTTCTGCTTACTACCATTTTGTAGAATTGCTTAATGTACAAAATTATTTTAAATAACAAATAAGTCATTACCAATAAGCACTGAAAAGTTATTACTTAGATTGTTTGCTTAGCATAATAAAACATTCAGTTAGCCTTGCAAGAGATGAAGATGTCAGCTGGAGCATCTCTGTATCAGACCAAAATACATTTATTTGTTAATGTTCCTAATATCTGTGAAGATTCTGGAAATCAGTCTGGGAAGAAGAAATAATGTAGTTGGTAAAAATGAAATTTAAATCTCTTAAACAATGATTAAATAAAAAGGAAACCAGGAAAATACCTTATAAAATGAGAATGACAGTGTCTTCATTTCCTTATTATGTAAAGACTGTATAAAATCTAATAAGAAAAACATTTCCATTCAGTTAATGCACCTCTTGTATTCACACAAGAAAGCAATATTTAAACTTGTTGGAATCAATATATTTGCTCATTATCGAAACATCTTTAAGTTATTAAAGCCGATAGTTTCTGCTGACACTATTTCTATGTGTTGTTATTGATAATGAAAAATAATGTAAACTTTAGAAAAATAAATTGACAAGTTGATTTTATGTTGTAAATATAATATGTTGTATATATAAACTGTATAGGATTTAGAAATGGGAAAAGAATCAATAGTATCGCAGTACCATTGAAGATGATTTTAAGCTTTTTCCTTGGGTGTTATTATGTTAAGTATGTAACAAATAAAATCAGAAGCCTTTCTCGCCTGCTACTGTAGTTCCTTATGCTCAGTGCCTTGTTTAGGCAAGGGACTAGTGCTAATGTCTACTGCTCAGTATAAGTGAGCTTTGCAGATTTTAAATAAGGAAACCATGTGACCTCTCAGAATACATTTCTGTAGAAATTTATATGGAAAGAATTTATATTAAATGTATTAAAATTTATATTGCTAGAAAATAGTGACTAAGAAGTTTTTTCTATTCCTTTGGGTAGCTAATGTATAAACATGGTTCTAACAATCTTATCCCCTTTACCTGGGTTCAGTTTATTTTTACCAATTTGTGCATATGGGGTGTGGACGGATATGTCTGAATGTGTGCATACGTACAACGACACAGGTATCAAGGGTATACACATCTTAAGCTTGATTGAATGATTTGTGAAAATCAGGTTTTTTGACATATAAATAATAATATTTTGTGATGTGAACTATGCAGAGAGGTGAATTCCTGACCCATCTTTGAGTAACTAATTCATACAATCATATAAATCCCTACTGGTGTCCAGCTAAATTGGACATAGCTAAGTAGACTTTTAATCCTCCCTAGGTTTAATTAAACGAGTTTATTTAGATATATTTTGTGTGACAAGGTAATTAAGATAAATATTTTATGATCTTGCTTTTTCAAAAGTGTAATTTTAGGTAAGCTTAAATATTTTCCATTGTGGTTGATATGTGAATTTTTTTTCCAGTCAAATGTATTCCAATAATTTAACTTATTTTAACGCCAAGCCTTAAATATCCTTTCATCTTTACAGAAATTGTGTAGCTTTTGTGTTGTGTTGGCTGGGGAAAAGTAGTCCGTAAGCTCCTTGAAGCATAGAAGTAGGGTTTCCTCAGCTCCCAACAGCTGAGCAGACTACCGGAACGCAGCAAGCACTTCTGAGAAAATGGCTCCAGAATGGAAGCATTTAAGAATTTTACATAGTCCTGAGTAAAGGGAGGTTAGGGAACTGCTACCTCTTTGAGCAATAGCCTTGAACAAGTCTAGCTATTTCCTCACAAGATTGGTTTAGCACGGTGTTAAGTTGCTGTTTCACGTTTTTCTGAGTAGCCAGTGCTTGATTCGACACAGATGTATTCATTCAGGTCTTAATGATGAAATCGCACTGACTGCCACTCAGGAATGTGTCTCAGGTCACCATCGCCATCCTACCCGTGCAGTCCTCCTGCGTGGTCGTGAGGACACCGCCTGCCTCGTGACCCTCAGGCAGGGCCGGGGACTTGATCACTGCCGGCATTCATGTTAGCAGTGTCTAGCCTTAAGAGATGTCAGCGGGTAGAGGTAAAAGAAGTTAAATAGTTGAACTGAATTTTTGAGTTTGATTTTCCTAGCTGTCAAGTAACATTGCACTTTTACCTTAGACAAACTTTTTGTAACAAGTACTAAAGTTATTTTTAACCTTAGGTCAAACATATTGCTGAAGACCCTCCTTGTAGTTGTTCACATAGATTTTCTATCGAGTACTTATCTGAAGGCCGTTACCGACTTGGGGATAAGATACTCTTCATAAGAGTAAGTGCACGGTCCATGTGTGTTCACATATAGAACTTGTTGTGAAATTGGGTTTCCTGCCAGCCTCTCTTTGCTTTACTTTTTAAAAAGCTGGAATGGATGATGCAATTAATGGAAGAATTTCACTGTATCGGGAAAATATGCCCTCTCCACCATCTGCTTAATGTGAATCTGTTTTTTCTTTTTGTTCTCCAAAAAATACATATTCAGCGGCACCAGAGTCCATTCAATTATTTTCTTTACAATTGTTAAACCTTAAAAAAAGAAAAATACAGACTTCTTGCCTTTCATGATCAGTTCAGATAGGTGATTTAAACACTGCAAACAACTAACTTCAGAATTCCTACGACTAAACAGTGAAATATAACTGAGGAACAAAGCTCCTTGTACCCTTCTGGTGTCTTATGCCATTTGTCAAATAACCGAATGGGGAGTAATTTTCCACTATTACAAGAGAAAACAAAAATAAAACATCTACTGCAATGAAATGCCTAACAAGAAAAGGAAATAGAAACATGCTATTTATGATAACATATACTTTGGGCTTCATATAGAAATTGTTTCTCACGGCCACAGCCTTGCTGCGTGTACTCATCATCGTGTTCATCTTCCGCCTCTGTCCCGTCTGCTGTGGGTTAATTGTCCTCTCCTGATGAGACTGAAATTTCACCGATTCAGCATTCTTTCCAATTCTGATCTAAAATTAGGAACTGTTTTATTTCCTAGTTAGCAGTAATATAATAATAATTAAAATATAATTTCACCGTCTAGTTTTCTTCCCTTTCACATATTATCATTACCTCACCACCACCTACCAAAGTCACACAGAAACACTCTCCTGCACTTTCCATCTCTTAACTAGCTTTCTTGTTAAAGGCATTGTGATACAGATAGCCATGATGCACATAGCATGGGACTCAGAATTAAAATCCATGCACAGTGGAAGGCATTTGGCCTAGCACTTGAAGACTGAGAGTTGGGATCCCATATCCCTGCATCAGAGTGTCTGGGTTCAAGTGTTCACTCCACTCATGGTTCCAACTTGCTAATAATGTGTGCCAGGGGAAAGAGAAAGTCGAGTTCCTGGGTCCGTTCCGCACAGCTAGAAGCCCTGTACTGAGTTCCTGGCTCCTTTGCAGACATTTCGGAAGCGAATCAGGGGATGGGAATTTTATATTTCTTTCTTTCTGCCAAATAAACAAATACCTAAAGTTTGTGGGGAACCTCATTTAGTTCTACATATTGGTCTGCTGTAAGGACAAGAAACTGAACTCCAACTTGGGGTGTACTGACAAAGGCATGGTGTCTCATCCCCACAAAAGCACCATCTGGGTTACAGGCACCCAGTCCAGGAGAGACCAGGCCACGCTGTGTTAGCTGGGACAAATTCCACCATCTCTAAGAGGCATAATTTTCTTGTCTGCAAAGAAGAACTAATAATAAATCTTATCAGAGTGTCTTTAAGATTAAATTGGTGTATATGAAAATAATTAAATTGTAAAGTATAATGTTTGGTCTTTTTTATTTCTTCCCTATTTTTTTTCTTTATTATCAGGCACTGTTTTTTCCTTTAGGTCCTCATTTCTCCTTCCTTCATCTCTTCTCCCTTTTTCTTTTACTCTTCATTGAACAACATTGACCTTGCACTTCTGCATGTTAATAACTTAGGTTTTTAAGATGCAAGTTATTTGTAAATATGTTGCTAACAGGTTGGAGGAATTTGATTGTAGTTGTATAACTCAACCTGAATTAAATTTATTAATAGTACCAGAGGCTATCAATTTGTATGAAAATGCTGGCAAATTCTCTGAATGTCATAGGTCTCAATATCACAAAATATGACTGCTAACACATTGTTACTTTATTATGAACCTCACAATTTTACAACTTTTTAAATTTTTTTACTTTTCTTTGTGGGGGCAGATGCTTCATGGAAAACACGTTATGGTCCGTGTTGGCGGAGGCTGGGATACTCTTCAAGGATTTTTGCTTAAATATGATCCCTGTCGAATATTACAGTTTGCTACACTGGAACAAAAGATTCTAGCATTTCAAAAAGGAGTTTCTAATGAACACGTACCTGATTCACCTGCCAGAACACCTCAGCCTCCTGAGATGAATCCTTTGTCAGCAGTTAACATGTTTCAGAAACAAAATCCCAAACCTGGCACAGCAGTTCCCAGGAGCAAGGAAAAACAGGTGCATCCACCAGGCTCTCAGCTGCCGGCTTCCTCACAGAAAGCAGGGCATCCAGGCTCCGCATCAGGCCCTTCTAAAGGTCCAACTTCCTCAGCGATGCCTTCCCATCTCAAGCTCAAGTCTTCAAAAGGCACAACAAAGAAGCCACATGTTTCTTCAAACAGCGTCCCGTCTTCACTGGGCCCCGTTGGTAACAGTACTTCTTCACCTGTTTTATCAAGAACTGCACCTTGCGTAACTGAGTCATTAAGGAAATGTGTCACATCCTCTGGTACCCCTAAGGCCAGGGTCATTCCAGCCCACAGTTCAAAAGAGCTGCCAAGTAAGTGTTCTGGAAAAGCCGAATTGAAGTATTTGAAAGACAGTCATATTTCTTCAAAGGATGATAAAGTAGTTCACTCAGCTGCACATTTAGGTTCTTCATCAAAGTATCCAAAGGCACCTAAAGCAAACATACACGTAAGACCTAAACCGTCCCCCTTCCAGTCCCCTGCCAAAATGACAAAACCCAATTCCAAAGCCACAGCCCAAGGAGCCCAGGCCCAGCCATCTGACAGAGCTGCACCTGCAGGGCTGGTCCCGGCCCAGAAACTTAAACCAGCCTTGAATCTAAATCAGCCAGTTTCTGTGGCTTCCATTTCTCCTGCAAGAAATGCACGGGACTCAAAAAACAGCCATACAGCTTCAGTTGTCAAAAAGCAGCATCAGTCGAAAAGTCCATGCCAAAGGGCAGGACCCAGCTCCTCCAAATCCCCTGGCCGCACTCCACTGTCCACCATGAGCCTTCCCCAGTCTTCTGTGAAAACACAGACAGCAACCAAGGCAGCACACACTGCCACCAAGGGCCAGTATTCAGCCAAAGGACCTCCAAAAAGTGGCAAGACCCCAACTCCCAGCAAGAAGCCACCTTCATCTGGTAAGGAAGCAGATAGTGGAGAGAGAAAACCTGCTGCCAAGAAAAAGGAAGATGATGACCACTACTTTGTTATGACCGGAAGTAAGAAACCTAGAAAATAAATATGCCTGTGACATTTTAAGAAAACAGGACTGGAGCAGAGTGAATGCGTCCAGGTTTCTCCCATGCATATGTGTTCCAGAACAACATAGAAGGGTGACGGGTGTTGGGACGAGGAGGAAGCTCATCAGAATCCACATCTCTGAATCCATCAGCAACTACTCTTGTGAGGCAAAGAGTTGTCAAATCACTACAAGGTTCTTTTTCATACTAGACATAGATGCGACTTTCAGTCCATAGTGTCATTATTCATGGCTCTTGCTGAGGGAAATATAAGTCACATAACACTACTGGAATTACAACTATGGCAGGAGTGGGAAACCTTTTTCCAAGGACTGTCTGGATATTTATAACATCGTTCTTGAGCCAGACAGAATCGTCAACTTGAAAATTAGCCTGTTATAAGTCTACTGAATTATGGTTGTCTTGGCAGGCCCAGACCAAATGATGTGCAAGCATTATATGGCCCTTGGGCTGGATATTCCACACTCCTGAACTATGAGGACTATTTTTTTAAAAAAAATATATGCACACACATATATATATAACTTTTAAAATATGTATATTTATATAAATCATCCATTTATAGGATGGATGTTACATACATGCTTATAGCAACAGTGAGACTCTTAATATTAGGTATTATGTTTTATCAAGAAAGAAACGGTTTGGCATTTGTCCTGCGTTAGGCACCTAATTTGATTTCCTGATCAGGATTACCTAGTGCTACAATGCCACGTGCCAATGGCTGCTGCATGTTAGCTTGGCATTACTCTGAGCTGGGCTAGACAAAATTCTTAGTACTTATGTCTTTTAAAGCTTTCCAAATGAGAAGGAAGTGATTATTTTACCAGCCTGAAGTTACCAGTACTTTCAGTATAACTAATAAGATTAACTTATTGAAACATAAGCAGAAACTCAGTTTTTTAAAAAAAAACCCAAAGATTTTTAATGTATATTATCTATGAAAACTTGTATTTTAGTAGATGTTGCACAGCTGGAGAGAATGACTGAGTAGCTTCTAGCATATTAAAGATATTTTAATATTTCCTATGAATTTTTCCACAAAAATAATGTATTTTTAACATCAGAGTTATGTTTTAACTATCTTAAAATTAAGCATTTTGAAAAAACTCTTGATGCCCAATGTAATTTGTATCATCATGTCATTTTTCTCTAGATTATGGAACAATGCCAGTTTTAGTAAGATTTTTCCAATTATGTTCACGTTATTAGCATCATGTTATCTGTGTCTCTGACGGCAGGTGGCTGGCTGGGAGAACGCTTTCTGTCATCTAGACAGATGTTCTCAAACATCTCCCTTTCACATAGTGGTGGCACAGACTCCATTGAACTAAAATGGCACTTGTAAATAACTTATCTTTAAGGAATTGTGACTGTTAAAAAATTAATAGCGTACTTTGAGAAGTGTTAAGGATGTTTTAAATAATTTTGCAGTATTAGTTAGCAAAGGTTATTGTGTTCAATATTGAGCTTTGCACTACTGTGTTTGCTTTCAACTAAAATGTGTTTACTGGAGAACAAGCTAGTTCACAGAAATGTACAGATGTCATAGAATAAGCTTCAGTTGGCTATTAACATTATGTAGATCATAAGCAAGAAAACTTTGTGTAAATAATACGGGTGGGTGTTAAGGCCACAGTGGGTTAAGCCATTGCCCGGGGACTCTTCACATCCCAATCAGAGTGCTGGAGTGAGAACTGCCTCCGCTTCTGATTCAGCCCCCTGCTACTGTTCCTGGGAGGCAGCACGGGAGCCCCGGGTGCCTGGCTTCCTGCCATCTACACAGCAGAGCTCGGTGGAGTATCCCCTAGGAGCACCGTTTAGCATCCTGGTGCTCCATTTCTGATCCAGCTCTGTTGGTGCCCTGGAGAAGCAGCAGAGGATGGCCCGAAAGCTTGGGTCCTGCCACTCTTGAGGGAGACTAAGCTGAAGCTCCCAGCTCCTGGCTACCAGCTTTGGCCTAACACAGCTCTAGCTGTTGCTGTCAGTGGGGTATGAACCAGCAGATGGAAGACCTCTCTTCTCTGTCTCTTACCATCTCTTTCTGACTCTTTCAAATAAGTCAATAAACGTTTGAAAAGAAAAGGCCAGGTAATACTTGTATGATCTATAACTTAGAATTTGGAAAAAGTAAATGGTATTATAGCCAATGTATATGAATCTAAATAGACTTTACAATTAAGTGAACGTTACCATTTTTTATCAAGAATAATCAGATATAAAAGTATTCCATAGACATTTGGAATAAATTCTGGATTTAATCAAAAGAATTGTTTATCCGAATAATTGGAAATCAATTTATAAGCTTTAAGTTATAAGAAATTTCTCTGTGGTCACACTTAATGAATTTGTGTGTGTGTGTTTATATATATAACTGTATAAATAAACAAACCTTTGTTTTGGAAGGATAAACCATATATACACACACACACATATATGGTTTATTTTTATCCTATATATTCCAAAATATTATCTATTTTATATATATATTTAAAGGGTTTGTTTTCATAAATATGGCTGAAAGAATTTTTTTTCAAACATATTCTGGAATTTTCCTAAGTCCTAGTTTTTCTGATCACTGAAACAATTTTTAAAATAGCTTTTTACCTTTTTGTAGTTAGGGAGGTCCCATTCCTTCTTAATAATAAGCAAGATTTAGTGATTCATTTTGTATATAATATTTAATACAATGAATATTAAGCTCAAATTTAGTTTCTGGAAAAAAAAGTGTGCTTTCAAAAATCAAAGTGCCTTTATTTTTCTTTGCTCTAATGTGTTAATATAGCTAATACCTAAAATTCAACTCCAGATGAAAATGAAATGTGGATTATTTTTACATTGTTTGCACTTAGAGTAAATATTTATGACATATCTTCAAAATAATTTGATAAATTAATTACATAACTTGTATGTTTCCTCTCCATGATAAGTTTACAATCCTCAGTGGAAAAAAATGAATTTTTGAGAGGGAATTCTTACTCTTCATGCAATCCTTACATCTCTGCCTCATTTAGAATCTGTTACTTCTGGCAGGTGGTTATGCTGTCTTGTTAAATCCAGGTTCAGCTACCGACTCTACTTGCATCCCAACTCTTGTACCAGCAGTGTTTGTATCCAATTTTAACTTATATTTTCTCAACTATTAAATTTATATGTACATACTAACGTGTCCGTTTGGTTTTTCTTATGTCCTAAATATAGTGTGATCACCTGCTTCAGACAGGAAGTTGCTTATATAAAACATGGATAAATTTGAGATGAGTTTTAAATTCCATTGCTATTTGAAGAGCCCTTTCTATGCTGTATAATTTATTTTATTGCTTCGGGAGATCATAAGGTTTTGTCATTGTCCTCCAAATTACTCTGTAAGAAATTTGTTCCAGAAAGCACAAGACTTATATTTAGTGACCTTTATAAAAATAGAAATAACTTACCAGTTAATAAAATAGAATTACTTGGATCATACAAGCATTGTGTTCACAGAAGATATTGGTCATAGAAATTTCACATTCTTGTAGTCCTACTTACTATTATACTTTTAATATAGTTATATTATTCTTGAAATATTCATCACTCATGGCTAAAGTAATTATTTTAAAAAGCTGTTAATGTGTATTTTCTGTGATGTTTCCAAAAATCAGTAAAAGATCTTAAATTTTTCTTATATTTTCCTATTTCATGCATATAACAAAATTTAAACTTAAATATATTTTGTGAAATTAGAGAAGGAAAAATTAACAAAACACTTACTGGTAAATTTAAAATATGAAGACATTTGATTGTAGTTAAGATGTTTGTTATAAATGCACAGCTCTGTTCTTGTAAAAAAAATCACAGTGGTACTTGATCTTGAGGAAATAAGATTTGCAAAAATTAGCAATGGGGATGTCCAACATGCCATTATTAAAGTATTGGTATTACCATAAATAAAATATCATAGGTCATGAGAGGTATTGTAGACATTAAATTCTCTTAAAAGCAGAACATGTGCTGATAAAGTGGCTTATTTTGAGAAACCAAAACATTAATAGACAAGATTTCTTCATTTTTCCACATTCAGTTAGAAAGAACACAGTCCTTGCTTATGGTATGTGGGCTCAATAAATTGTACTTGTTATCACTGATCTTTTGAAGTTAGTCTTTTGGGTATTATAGTATTAATATATATGCCAAAATATGTGCAACCATGTGTCAGTTTTTAAAGCTAATTTTAAAGTTTGAACTCTCTATCTAAAATGAGAAACAAAACTCTTAAGTCATACCAGTGCTTGGGAATCAAGTGAATAAGATAAGAGACTGGTAAAACTTTTTCAGTTGATTGGTTTGGCATTTTGTCAACATAGTTTGAGGTTCCCAGAGTTTATTCTGTCAGACACAATCATTTCTCTCTGAATTTCCATCCCAATCTGACTTCCAATGACTCTTTCCAAAGTACAAGGGCTTTTTCACCTGCCCTGAGCCTTTGATTTTTTTCCCCTCGAAGAAAGGCCTATTAGATGAAATGACACAAGTATAGAAGATACATTGAGATTGACTTGTGTTTAATAACACTGACTTTGAAGCTGGTGGATGTGTTGAATATAGAAGTTGCTTACCCTGCCTGGTAGATCCGACCTTCTTCCTAACTGTTTAGGGTGATTGCAGACAGCAGGCATCAGCAGCTTTCGTCACAACACTGACAGCTTCTTTCCACACCCTTAGAACTCACTTCAGGTCAGATGCTGTTCAGCGCTCATTTATTCTTACAAGGCTGTGAGGCAGATTCTGTCACTGGCCTCATATGTGAGGAAACGGAGGCACTGAGGACTCACTTCCGGTGTTCCTCCGTTTTCTGGCCCCCGTGCAGCAGGGTTAAGAGGTGAGGCCAAGAACAGGTGATTACCCCCCTCGCGCTCTGCCCTCTTTAATGCAACTAGTGCCCTTAATGAAGGGCCCGAGAGGGCGGGTTTCTCCCTTCTGTCTGTGAGGGCACAGCGTTTCCTCCACTCGGAGGCAGACACAGCACCATGACGCTATCCTGGAGGCAGAGACACAACCATTACCAGACACCCAGTCTGTCGGCACCTTCATCTCGGACTACTCCAGCTCCAGAAATGTAGGAAAAATTTGGAATCTTCCTATCGTTACCCAGTCTGGTTTTTTGGTTGCTGCAGAGCTCATGGAGATGACACTTGGTGGAGGGATGTCTGACGCTCCAGCAGCACCTGCAATACCTGAGCGCCAGCTCCATCATCTCCAGAAGTGGTTCTCCCAGACAGGAAAATATGCCAGTGACGCTTGTCCCATGTGTCTAGGAGGTGGGTGTATGTCCAGTGTGCCGCATGTCCAGTGTGCTGTGTCTGTTGTGTCCACTGCGCATGGAGCCCCAGCAGCCCTCGGACTCCTCCACTGCCAAATCCGAACAAGTTCACCCTTTCTTGTATCTTCAGTTCCCCCTTGTCGTCCCGACCCTGTCTTCCTCCTCAATCCCACAAACATGTTCAAGTCTCTCATCACTGCTTCCTCTTTCACTTTCCATTCCTTTACCCCCGAGTCACCACCATGGACTGGTGGCGTTGAGCCAGGTTTTGCTGCCAAAACAAGAAAGCCATTTTCGTGGCTTTTAGTAGCACAGGTAACTCCTCACTCTTACTCGGTGCCCAGGAGGGTCACCTGGCACTCTGCTTATGGTGGCTGCTCAGGGACTCGGACTGATGGAAGTTCCCTGTCAACAGATGCGTCTGCAATGACCAAGCCAGGTGGGGAATGCCAATCCTTCCCTCGGGAACTCCTCCCTTGACTGCCTGCTCTTGGTTTTTCATGCTGCTCTCGCTCTTCAGGGCTGTTCCCTGGTTTCTCTTCTTTTGGCCCTGTCCATGCT